ACAGAGAGAGACTGTCTCAAAAAACAGACAAACAAACGACAATAACAACGAAAAAACCTGTCCCCAGTTCACAGGTCACCTAGGAATTTTTTTTTTTTTTTTTCTGAGATGGGTTTCGCTCTTGTTGCCCAGGCTGTGGTGCAATGGAGCAATCTCAGCTCACTGCAACCTCCACTTCCCGGGTTCAAGTGATTCTCCTGCCTCTGCCTCCTGAGTAGCTGGGATTACAGGCATACGCTACCACACCCGGCTAATTTTGTATTTTTAGTAGAGACGGGGTTTCTCCATGTTGGTCAGGCTGGTGTCAAACTCCCGACCTCAGGTGATCAGCCCACCTCAGCCTCCCAAAGTGCTGAGAATACAGGCATGAGCCACCGCGCCTGGCCAGTCACTTAGGATTCTACTGGAATTACTGAACTAGGATTCTATTGGAATTACGTGATCTCACCACGGTAGGGCTTGTTGCTGGGGTTGCATTAGCTAAATAGGGCCTTTTAGACACTGGAATCTAAGCTGAATGCTAATTTTATTATTTCAAGCTGGTCAAAGTTAATTCTACTAAAATTCCATCATAAAACTGTGGCATCGTGAAAGATTGTTGGCAACAGATAAATAGATGATAGTATAGTTTCTCAACTTATGGGAGTCATGCCCAAATGTCTCTAAACTCCCTTATTTATTTAAGAAAATTGATTACTAAAAATGGCCGGTGGCTCATGCCTGTAATCCCAACACTTTGGGAGGCCAAGGTGGGCGGATCACCTGAGGTCAGGAGTTCTAGACCAGCCTGAGCAACATGGTGAAATCCTGTCTCTACTAAAAATACAAAAATTGTCTGGGCGTGGTGGTGCACGCCTGTAATCCCAGCTACTTGGAAGTCTGAGGCAGGAGAATCACTTGAACCTGGGAGGCGGAGGTTGCAGTGAGTCGAGATCGTACCATTGCACTCCATGCTGGGCAACAAGGGCAAAACAAGAGAAAAAAAAAGTATGTGACCAGGCGCAGTGGTGTACACTTGTAATATCAGCACTGTGGGAGGCCAAGGTGGGAGGATCACTTGAGGCTGGTAGTTCGAGACCAGCCTGGTCAACATAGCAAGACCCCGTCTCTATAAAAAAATGTTTTTAAAAATTAGCTGGGCTACTAAAAAGTAGGCTGTAGTTCCAACTACTTGGGAGGCTGAGGTTGTAGTGAGCTATGATTGAGCCACTGCACTCCAACCTGGGTGATAGAGTGAGACACTGGATCAAAAAAAAAAGTGACTGCCACACATAGATTTCTTTCTTTTATTATTATTATTATTATTTTTTGAGACAGAGTCTCACTCTGTCACCCAGGCTGGAGTGCAATGGCGTGATCTTGGCTCACTGCAACCTCCACCTCCTGGGTTCAAGCGATTCTCCTGCCTCAGCCTCCTAAGTAGCTGGGATTACAGGTGCACATCACCATGCCCAGCTAATTTTTGTATTTTTAGTACATGCTGGGTTTCACCATGTTGGCCAGGTTGATCTCGAACTCCTGGCCTCAGGTTATCCACCCTCTTTGGCCTCCCAAAGTGTTGGGATTATAGGTGTGAGCCACTGCACCCAGCCAACATCATAGATTTCTGTCTTTAAAAAAATCTTGGCTATACTGATTGAGCCTCCTCCACAGTCTTACAGAGGAAGGAGCTAAAACACAGAGAGGGTGAGAAAAGTCCCTAAAGACACACAGCAAATTTAGGACTGGGCTCCAGTTCTCTCCAGGGGTTTTCCACAGCCCAAGATCTCTCATACCTGTTCCTGCAGCTGCCAGTCTTGTCAAGGTTGCCAGTCTCTGGGGCCTTGCTGGTTCCTGACTCCCTAAAATACAGGGCCCAAGGGTCCTCCCCAATTTTCCTGTCCTGCCTTGAGCTCCCCACCCCCACTTCCAGACGGATTGGGAGCTGTGACCCCCAGCTCTGTGGTCCCAAAGGGAGGTCAGCTAAAGCAGCCACCAGGGGACTCATTGCCCAACAGGGAGTGGCTATGATCAATGTCTTCTGCTGCTCTTCCCTGGGTTAACCATTTCCTGACCCTTGCCCCTCTGTTGATTCCTCTGCTAACCTGGTATGGAGGAAGGGTGGACAAGGGCTTGGGACGGGCACCCTTGATATCCCCAGCTCTGACACAAACAGGCAGGGGGGCTCTCAGTCCTCAGATGTAATCCCTGCCTGGGTTCTGTTGGCATTCCGTGGCGAGGCTCTTCAGCCTCATTTGGGCAGAAAGGGTCCTGGGGACTGCAAAGGGGCTTTCTTTTTCTTTTATTTATTTCTTTTTAGAAACATGGTCTCCTTGTGTTGCCCAGGCTGAAGTGCGGTGGTGCCATCATAGCTCACTGTAGCCTTGAACTCCTGGGCTCAGGCGACCCTCCTGCCTCAGCCTCCTGAGTAGCTGGAACTACAGGTGCGCACCACCACGCTTAGATAATTTTTGTATTTTTTGTGTAGAGGGTGGGTTCTCACTATGTTGCTCAAGCTGGTCTCGAATTTCTGGGCTCAAGCAATCCTCCTACCTTGGCCTCCCAGAGTTCTGGGATTACAGGCACAAGCCACTGCACCTGGCCATTTCTTTCTTTCTTTTGTTATTTTTTGAGACACATTTTTGCTCTTGTTGCCCAGGCTGGAGTGCAATGGCGCGATCTTGGCTCACTGCAACCTCCGCCTCCCAGGTTCAAGCAATTCTCCTGCCTCAGCCTCCTGAGTAACTGGGAGTACAGGCATGTGTCCCCATGCCCAGCTAATTTTTTTGTATTTAGTCGAGACTGAGTTTCACCATGTTGGTCAGGCTGGTCTCGAACTCCTGACCTCAAGTGATCCGCCCACCTCGGCTTCCCAAAGTGCTGGGATTACAGGCATGAGCCACTGTGCCCAGCCTCCGGCCATTTCTTAATATGATCCAACCACATACCTACTGATAAATATTTATCATGATAATTTTTCCTATTGTAAACAATGTTGCAATTAACATCTTTAGGTATGGGCAAATTTGTGCAAAGTGCATGTACTTCTGCAGCAAGATTCCTAGAAAGGAAATGTTAGGTCAAAGATATGCACATTTGAAAGTTCAATAGTCATTGTCAAATGCCTTCTAAGAAGTCTTCTGGCCAGGCACAATGGCTCATGCCTGTAATCCCAACACTCTGGGAGGCCAAGGTGGATGGATCACCTGACATCAGAAGTTCGAGACTAGCCTGACCAACATGATGAAATCCCATCTCTACTAAAAATACAAAATTAGCCGGGTGTGGTGGTGCATGCCTGTAATCTCCACTACTTGGGAGGCTGAGGCAAGATAATTGCTTGAACTCAGGAGGCAGAGGTTGCAGTGAGCTGAGATTGTGCCATTGCACTCTAGCCTGGGTGACAGAGAGAGACTCCTCCCCAAAAACAAACAAGCAAAGAAACAAACAAACCAAAAAACAAACGCCTTCTAAGAAGTTTTCACCGTCTGGGCACAATGGCTCATGTTTGTAATCTCAGCACTTTGGGAGACTGAGGCAGGAAGATCACTGGAGCCCAGTAATTTGAGACCAGCCTGGGCAACATAGTGAGACCCTATCTCTATAAAAAAACAAAAACAAAAACAAACCCAAAAATTAGCTAGGCATGGTGGCTCGTGCCTGTAATCCCAACTACCCTGGGAGGCTGAGGTGAGAGGATTGCTTGAGCCTGGGATGTTGAGGCTGCAGTAAGCTGTGATGGCACCACTGCACTCCAGCCTGGGCCACAGAGTGAGACCCTGTCTCAAAAAAAAAAAAAAAAAAGTTTTCACCAACATTCTTTTTTTGTTTTGTTTTGAGACAGGGTCTCACTCTGTTGCTCTGGCTGGAGTGCAGTGGCTTGATCATAGCTCACTGCAGCCTCGAACACCTAAGTCCTCCCGCCTCAACCTCGCAACCAGCTGGGACCCACCGGCACATACTGCCATGCTTGGTTTATTTTTACATTTTTTGTGGAGACAGTGTCTCACTCTTTTACCCAGGCTGGTCTCTAGCCTCAAGCAGTCCTACCATCTCTGCCTCAAAAAAGCACTTGGGATTAGCAGCATGAGCCACCGCACCTGGCCACCAACCTACAGTCTTATCATCACTGAGTTCGTATCTACCTGCATCTTGTCCAACACTTCATACTACCGATCTTTCAAATTTTTGTCGGCTGGGCACACTAGCTCACGCCTGTAATTCCAGCACTTTGGAAGGCCAAGGCAGGCAGATCACTTGAGCCCAGGAGTTTAAGACCAGCCTCAGCGACATGGCAAAACCCTGTTTCTGCAAAATATACAAAAATTAGCCGGGCTTGGTGACGTGTGCTGGTAGTCCCAGCTACTCCAGAGGCTAAGATGGGAGGATCACCTGAGCCCAGGGGGTTGAGGCTGCAGTAAGCCAAGTCATGCTGCTGCGCTCCAGCCTGGGTAACAGAACAAGGTCCTGTCTCAAAAAAAAAAAAGGTCAATATAAGAGTCATAGTTTTAATTAGCATTTCCCTTATTACTAGTGAAACAGAACAGCTTTTCAGATGTTTGCTGGTTGTTTGTATCTTTTCCTCTGTGACTTATCTTTCTCAGTGATTTGCCAATAGGCATTTGCAGTCCTTTTTTATTTTTGACATGGAGTCTCACGATCTCGGCTCACTACAACCTCCACCTACCAAGTTCAAGCGATTCTCGTGCCTCAGCCTCCTGAGTAGCTGGGATTATGAGCATGTGCCACCACCGCTGGCTAATTTTTTGTATTTTTAGTAGAGATGGGGTTTTGCCATGTTGGCCAGGCTGGTCTTGAACTCCTGACCTCAAGTGATCCACCCACCTTGGTGTCCCAAATGCTGGGATTACAGGTGTGAGCCACCACATCTGGCCGTTTGCAGTCCTTCCTTCACCTAACTCTCCAGTTGCCACCGTTGCCAGTTATAGAATTTTAGGTTTGAAATGGTTTTCTGTTGGAATTCTGCAGACAATGTTCCGCTGCCTCTTAGACTCCATGGTTGCTATTGAAAAGCCAGATGCCATGTTGATTTCTGATCGTTGGTATATGACCTGTTATTGTCTGTCTGAAAGTGTTTCAGATCTTCTCTTCCCTGATAGTCTGAAATCCAGTGCTTCCATGGGTCTCTGTGTATTCATCACCCTGGATACCTTTTTAATCTAGAGACTTGTATATTTCAGTGCTGGATATTTTCTTGTGTGTTTTTCTTTTTAAAATAATAATTTCTTTTCCTTTGTTCTCTCTTTTTGAACTCCTTTTGTTTGAGGTTAGACTTTTGTTTGAGATTGATCCTCCAAACCTGTTTCCTTTTTGTTTCTTTCTCTTTTTTTCCCCCTTCTCTCTAGTTTATTTCCCTCAATTTCAATCTACAATGCTTCTACTGGATGGTAAATTTCAACTCTTGTAGTTTTAATTTCCCAGAGCTTTTCTGTGTTTCTCTGTTCATTTTTCATGGCATCCTTGCAAGGATGCCAAGCTAAGGAGGCCAGGGGTGAATAAAAGGGGTCCAGGCTCCCAACTGTGCCCTTCTCCTCTCCCCTGGGAGCCACCACTGAGGTTCCTCATGGTTCCTCCAGTCTGGACTCTGCTGCTGCTGGTGGGGGCTGCCCATCTCAGGTAAGCTGGGCCCAGCGGGTAATGATAAACCAGGGTCAGTTGAGGGTGGCTGTAGGAATATGGAAGGGCAGAGCTGGAGAGGGTGAGCAGGCTAACTACAAAAGACCTGGAGAGAGGCCGGGCGCGGTGGCTCACACCTGTAATCCCAGCACTTTGGGAGGCTGAGGTGGGCGGATCACGAGGTCAGGAGATCAAGACCATGCTGGCCAACATGGTGAAATCCCGTCTCTACTAAAAATACAAAAAATTAGCCAGGTGTGGTGGTGCACACCTGTAGTCCCAGCTACTTTGGAGGCTGAGGCAGGAGAATCGCTTGAACCTGGGAGGCAGAGTTTGCGGTGAGCCGAGATCATGCCATTGCACTCCAGCCTGGGTGACAGAGTGAGACTCCATCTCAAAAAAAAAAAAAAAAACCTGGAGAGGAAGGGGGAAACCCGGTGGGATGGAAATGGGTTGACCTTGACTGCTGACCAGGAAGGGGGAGAGCTGCACAGGCCCAGAGCCTGGAATTAAGGGGCAGGTTCTGGGAGCAGGACAGGGCTACAATGTGAGAAGGGACAGAGGAGGTGCAGAGCTGGAAGCCACATCTAAGGCTAGGAGAGAAGGATCGAGGGGTCAGGCCCTCAGGAAATGGACAAGACCTAGGGTGGACCCAGCTGATGAGGGAGACTTAAGTATGAGGCAGCAAAGAAATGACGGATGACAGGCCGGGCGTGGCGGCTCACCCCTGTAATCCCAGCACTTTGGGAAGCCGAGGCAGGTGGATCACCTGAGGTCAGGTGTTCGAGACCAGCCTGACCAACATGGTGAAACCCTGTCTGTACTAGCCATGTATGGTCGTGCATGCCTGTAATCCCAGCTACTGGGGAGTCTGAGGCAGGAGAGTCACTTGAACCCAGGAGGCAGAGATTGCAGTGAGCCGAAATTGCACCATTGCACTCCAGCCTGGGCAACAAGAGTGAAACTCCGTCTCAAAAAAAAAAAAAAAAAAGAAATGATGGATGTCTTGGTGTCCTGCAGTGTGTTTGGGAGAATTTGAACAAGTAGAACTTCAACAACAAAAAACTGAGGTCTGAGCACAGTGGCTCCTACCTGTAATCCCAGCACTTTGGGAGGCCAAGGTGGGAGGATTGCATGAGGTCAGGAGGTCATGGCCAGCCTGTGCAACATAGAAAGACCCCATCTCTATAAAAAATAGAAATAAATTAGCTGGGTGTGGTGGCATGCTCCTGTAGTCCCAGCTACTGGGGAGGTTGAGGTGGGAGGATTGCTGGAGCCCAGAGGTTTGAGGCTGCAGTGAGTTGTGATTGCACCACTGCACTCTAGCCTGAGTGCCGGGGAAAAGAAAAGAAAAGAAAAAAAAAAAGAAAAAAAGTCAAGTCACATACATTCACTGCATAAACACGGATCATCCTTACGTGACCACTCAGAAAGCTCATAGTTACTGAATGACTTATAATTCTTATAATTCTTTTAATTCTTGATAATGACAAGAGTTGCATTTTTGCTTTCTCCAAACCACCCCCAAGGAGAGAGAAGCCTCCGGACAAGAAGCTGGTTGTTCGCAGCTCTGGGAACAACTGTGAGTTGGAAACCAGGAGTGCTAAGATTCCTCCTCCCTCCTCTGAACCCACATTCTGCCACCAGAACGCCAGTGCCTGAGTTCCTAGCAGAAGCAGCCACCTCCAGTCCCCTCCGGGCATCAGCCAGGACTACAAAACGTGTCCCGCCAGACCAAGTCCAGCCCTCCAACCTCAGTTCATGTCCCCGACCTTGGCATTCTGTCCACTCTCCCAGACCCGAATTTCTCCTAAAAGATTCTTTCTTTCAAATCTCTGCTCTGGGCCGGGTGCTGTGGCTCACACCTGTAATTCCAACACTTAGGGAGGCCGAGGTGGGAGGATGGCTTGAGGCCAGGAGTTTGAGAGCAGCCTGGGCAACACAGTAAGACTCTATCTCTACAAAAAACAAACAATTTCTGCTCTGGACCCCAAGTCTTTGTGACAGCTTTCTTTTTATTTTCTTTTTTTGAGACGGAGTCTCCCTCTGTTGCTCAGGCGGGAGTGCAGTGGCGTGATCTTGGCCTCACTGCAAAGGTCACCTCCTGGGTTCAAGCGATTCTCTTGCCTCAGCCTCCCCAGTAGCTGGGACTACAGGTGTGCGCCACCACACCCGGCTGATTTCATGGCAGCTTTCTCTAAGCGTAGCAATCTTGCTACTTCCATCTCCCAGTGTGGTTCTGGGCCCTGCCCCTGTCCTCTCTGAAACCTCACAGTGACCCGTTCTTCCTAGACGTTCTCACCCAGTGTGATTTTGAGGATGACGCCAAACCCCTCTGTGACTGGTCCCAAGTGTCCGCAGATGATGGAGACTGGGTTCGAGCCAGCGGGCCCTCTCCCACCGGCACCACCGGGCCTCCCGGGGGGTACCCCAATGGAGGTAAGCGGCTACGGTTTCCGGGGGACCATGAGCAGGGAGGTGTCTGGGAGGCGGGGATGGCTAGATGGAGGGAGAAGGGAGGCAACCAGAACGGAGTGCCTGCGCTCTGAGAAGGGGATGGGTGGGGGCAGCCCTCGGAGGTGACTGGGCCTCAGGGTCCTGGGCTCTGCCTCCCCCAGAGGGCAGCTATCTGCATATGGAATCCAACAACTTCCACCGTGGGGGTGTGGCCCGCCTGCGCAGCCCCAACCTATGGGAGCAAGGCCCGCTCTGCGTGAACTTCGCCTACCACATGTTTGGGCTGTCTTGGGGCGCCCAGCTCAGGCTGCTGCTGCTCTCGGGTGAAGAGGGCCGCCGCCCCCACGTGCTCTGGAAACACCGGAACACCCAGAGACCCTCCTGGATGCCCACCACTGTCACTGTGCCCGCAGGGTTCACCCTGCCCACCCGAGTAAGGCCAGGGGCAAATTCTGGGACCTCGGGGGAAATCTGGGTGTCGGGGAGCCTGGGGGTGGGGATGTGGCAAAAAGGGATTGTGGGGGCCAAGCCATCTGAAATCAGGAAGGAAACTAGGAGCCAGGAGGCCTGGCTGAGGGGCTCATGGGGTTGGGTCCATTTATCCTCTTGCAGCTGATGTTTGAGGGAACACGGGGTAGCACTGCCTACCTGGACATTGCCCTGGATGCCCTCTCTATTCGCCGGGGCTCCTGCAATCGCGGTGAGTCCCTGTCCCTCCTCCTCCCACCGCCTGCCCTCGGACCCTTTTCTCTCTGCCCTTGCACAACTACCCAGGGTGGCAGGAGCAGTTCATGGACCAGGAGTCTAGCTGCTTCCCCTGCCTCTGCCCTCCACGCCAGAGGCAGAGATCACGCCACTGCACTCCAGACTGGGTGACAGAACAAGACTCTGCCTCAAAAAAAAAAAAAAAAAAAAAAAAAAAGATGAAAATGAAAGGTGCCAGAGAAAGGAGATGAGGAGCTGGCTGTACTGGGTCTGCCAGGTGGAGCTTGTAGGGCTTTGACTCTGGTAGCAGCCACGCTTAAAGAGAGGTCTCCTCCGCCCAGCACTGTGGCTCAGGCCTGTAATCCCAGCACCTTGGGAGGCCAAGGTGGGAGGATGGTGTGAGGCCAGGAGTTTGAGATCAGCCTGGGCAACATAGGGAGACCCCCATGTCTACAAAAGAATTTATTTATTTATCTATTTGAGACAGAATTTCACTCTTGTCACCCAGGCTGGATGCAGTGGCGTGATCTCGGCTCACTGCAACTTCCGCCTCTTGGGTTCAAATGATTCTCCTGCCTCAGTCTCCGAAGGAGCTGGGATTACAGGTGCCCACCACCATGCCTGGCTAATTTTTGTATGTTTAGTAGAGCTGGGGTTTCATTGTGTTGGCAAGGCTGTTCTAGAACTCTTGACCTCAGGTGATCTGCCCACCTCAGCCTCCCAAAATGCTGAGATTACAGGCTTAAGCCACCGCGCCTGGCCAAAAACTTTTTAAAAATTAGCCGCGTTGGCCGGGCACGGTGGCTCAAGCCTGTAATCTCAGCACTTTGGAAGGCCGAGATGGGCGGATCACGAGGTCAGGAAATTGAGACCATCCTGGCTAACATGGTGAAACCCCGTCTCTACTAAAAAATACAAAAAACTAGCCGGGTGAAGTGGCGGGTGCCTGTAGTCCCAGCTACTCGGAAGGCTGAGGCAGGAGAATGGCGTGAACCCGGGAGGCATAGCTTGCAGTGAGCTGAGATCCGGCCACTGCACTCCAGCCTGGGCGACAGAGCGAGACTCCGTCTAAAAAAAAAAAAAAAAATTAGCTGGGCGTGGTGGTGCCACCTGTAGTCTTAGCTACTCAGGAGGCTGAGGTGGGAGGACTGCTTGAGTCCAGGAGTTCGAGGCTGCAGTGAGCTATGATTACACCACTGTACTCTTAGCCTGGGTGACAGAGACCCTGTCTCTAAAAAAGAAGAAAATATTATATCTTCCCTTCTTTCTTTCCTCTCAGTCTGTATGATGCAAACATGCAGCTTTGACATTCCAAATGACCTCTGTGACTGGACCTGGATCCCAACTGCCTCCGGGGCCAAGTGGACTCAGAAGAAAGGGTCGTCGGGAAAGCCAGGCGTGGGGCCTGATGGCGACTTCTCTAGCCCTGGTAGTGAGTAGCGGCCATGCTTCTGTCCGTTGACTTTCTGGGCACCACGCACCCTACTGTAATTGCCCTGGGACGGTCTGGCATGAACACCTACAGCTTCAAGCCTCTTATCAGCTCAAGTTTCATGCAGGAAGCTGATTTCAAGAACCCAGCCAGCCTCCCCCACCACCGCCCTACAAGCTCTACCTGGCACACCCAATACAGCCAGCTCCTCATCTCCTTTCTCTGGCACCTTTCATTTTTTTTTTTTTTTTTTTTTTGAGACGGAGTCTCGCTCTGTCGCCCAGGCTGGAGTGCAGTGGCCAGATCTCAGCTCACTGCAAGCTCCGCCTCCCGGGTTCCCGCCATTCTCCTGCCTCAGCCTCCCGAGTGGCTGGGACCACAGGCGCCGCCACCTCGCCCGGCTAATTTTTTGTGTTTTTAGTAGAGACGGGGTTTCGCCATGTTAGCCAGGATGGTCTTGATCTCCTGACCTTGTGATCCGCCCGTCTCGGCCTCCCAAAGTGCTGGGATTACAGGCTTGAGCCACCGCGCCCGGCCCCATTTTTTTTTTTTTTTTTTTTGAGGCAGAGTCTCATTCTATCACCCAGTCTGGAGTGCAGTGGCGTGATCTCTGCTCACTGCAACCTCTGCCTCCTAGGTTTAAGCAATTCTCCTGCCTCAACCTCCCGAGTAGCTGGGACTACAGGCATGCACCACCACACCCGGATAATTTTTGTAGTTTTTGTAGAGACAGGGTTTCACCATGTTGGCCAGGCTGGTCTCGAACTCCTGACCTCAAGTGATCCACCTGCCTCAGCCTCCCAAATGCTGGGATTACAGGCATGAGTCATTGCTTCTGGCCCCTTTCATTCTTCATTCATTCAAGAAATACTGAGCACCTACAATATGCCAGCTGCTGTCCTAGGCACTTGAGATACACCAGTGTACAAAACAGACAAGGAAGAGTAGGGTGGGGTAGTGGGGGACAGTTACCTAAACAAAGTAAATATAGTTATAAAGTGAGCAGTGCCACTGGGAAAATAAAAAGTTGAACAAGTTTGGAGCCAAGTGCACTGGCTCACGCCTGTAATCCCAGCACTTTGGGAGGTGGAGGCAGGCAGATCACCTGAGGTCAGGAGTTTGAGACCAGCCTGGCCAACATAGCAAAACCCTGTCTCTACTACAAATACAAAAAATTAGCTGGGCGTGGTGGTGTGCGCCTGTAATCCTGTAATCCCAGCTACTCGGGAGGCTGAAGTGGGAGAATTGCTTGAATCTGGGAGGCGGAGATAGTGCCACTGCACTCCAGCCTGGACAACAGAATGAGACTCCGTCTCAATAAAAATAAATAAGTAAATAAATAAATAAATAAGGCCTTAAGAAGCCCTGGCCCCACCTTTGCTGGAAGCCGGCCAGCCCTCTCTGCCACCCCTCAGCATTTTTAAATTATGTACTGTGGACTGTGCCCAGGAGCTTCAGTAAATGCTGGCTGGCCTTTTGGCTTTTTATTTTTCCTTTTTCTCCCTTTCCATTTCCATCTTGCTCGCTTCCTTATATTTTCTTCGCCTTTCACTTTTTTTTTCTCCCATTTCTCCTCTTCCGTTTCTCATAGGTCTCCTCGATTTTATTTTCTTTCTTTCTTTTTTTTTTTTTGGATACAGAGTCTCATTCTGTTGCCCAGTCTGTAGTGCGGTGGCGCCATCTCAGCTCACTGCAACCTCTGTCTCCGGAGTTCAAGCGATTCTCCTGACTCAGCCTCCCGAGTAGCTGGGATTACAGGTGCCCGCCACCACACTCGGCTAATTTTTGTATTTTTAGTAGAGACGGGGTTTCGCATGTTGGCCAGGCTGGTCTTGAACGCCGGACCTCAGGTGATCCACCCGCCTCGGCCTCCCAAAGTGCTGGGATTACAGGCGTGAGCCACTGCACTCAGCCGTGAGTTACCAATTATTTATTTATTTATTTCTGAGACAGAGTCTCCCTCTGTCTCCCAGGCTGGAGTACAGTGACTTGATCTCAGCTCACAGCAACCTCTACCGCCCAGGTTCAATTGATTCTCCTACTTCAGCCTCCTGAGTAACTGGGACTACAGGTGTGCGCCACTATGCCCAATTAATTTTTGTATTTTTAGTAGAGATGGGGTTTCCCTATGTTGGTCAGGCTGGTCTCGAACTCCTGACCTCAGGTGATCCGCCCGCCTCAGTTTCCCAAAGTGCTGGGATTACAGGCGTGAGCCACTGCGCCAGCCCGTCTCCTTGATTTCTCTTTCACCATTTCCCCACTTCCTTTCCTTTCCCTTCCCTCTTCCTTCCCGGTTGTTTCCTTTCTCTCCTTCCTCCTGCCCATTCCCGCCATTCCAGCCTCTTCGTCGCCGCTCAGGATCACACCTTCCGCAGGAGTGAGCGCGCACCAGGCAGGACCGAGCGCGCGCCAGGCGTGACTCCCTGGGACTCGGGCGCGAGCACGCACGCGAGCGCGCTCCCCACGAGTTGGCTGCCGCTTATATTTTCCTCTTCGCTACCAGTTGCGTCACCTAGCGAGGTCCACGCTGATTGGCTGTCTGAGCTGGGGGCCGAGGTGGTGTTGGGTGAGAGGGGGTTTGCCGCTTGCTGGTCTGTGTCAGAGCCGCTGTGACTCTCACCAGTTTGTGTGAATAGGTTATGTCCAGCGGGTAAAGAAAAGGAAGAGGCAACCAGGTGTAGTGGCTCAAGCCTGTACTTGAGCACTTTGGGAGGCCAAGGCAGGAGGATTGCTTGAGGCCAGGAGACCAAGACCCGCCTGGGCAACATAGTGAGACCCCATCTCTTAAAAAAAAAATTAGCTGGGCATAGTGGTGTGCACCTGGAGTCCCAGCTACTCGGGAGGCTGTGGCAAGAGGATTGCTTGAGCCCAGGAGTTTGAGACCTATGCCACTACACTTTAGCCTGGACAACAGAGCCATACCCTGTCTCAGAAAAGAAAAAAGAAAAAAAGGAACAGGCTATGACTCTAGTGGACCTTAAGAGTTAGCACCCAGGCCAGACGTGATGGCTCATGACTGTAATCCCTTGGGAAGCCAAGGTGGGTGGATCATTTGAGCCTAGGAGTTCAAGACCAGCCTGGGCAATGTGGGGAAAGCCCATCTTAAAAAAAAAAAAATAGAAAAATTAGCAGGGCTTGGTGGCGCACACCTGTAGTCCCAGCTACTTAAGGAGGCTGAGGTGGGAGGACCACCTGAGCCCGGGGAGGTTGAGTCTGCAGTGAACCATGAGAGCCATGATTGCGCCACTGCACTCCAGCCTGGGCAACAGAGTGAGACTGTCTCAAAAACAAAAACAAAACAACAACAACAACAAAAAAGAGTTAACACCCAAAGGACAAAGTTCTAGTTGCTGCTTTGGAGAAGGTGTCTGGCGTTTCCCATGGCAGCGCCGGGTCCTTACCCAGCCCAAGTATTTCTGGGAAAGTCAAAGACCTCAGTCAGTTGGCATAGGACTACATTGGCACTGCCTGATTCCAGGCTGCTGTTGGGGCTCCCCAGGGACAAGTCCCCAGCCTCCTCAGAGCCCTATCTCTGCTGCCATCTTCCCTCAATTCCATCCACCTCAATTCCCTGGCCTTTTGCTTCACAGGTGGCCACTACATGCTCCTGGACCCCAAGAATGCAAGACCCGGGCAAAAAGCCGTCCTTCTGAGTCCCGTGAGCCCGTCCTCCGGCTGTCTGAGCTTTTCCTTCCACTACGTCCTCCGGGGCCAGTCTCCTGGTGCAGCCCTCCACGTTTATGCTTCCGTCTTGGGTTAGAGCGGAGAATTCACGGGATTTACACTGACTGGGCGCATCTCCCAGGGTTGGCTTGATGGGGAAACATGGGGCATCCCTCAGGGTCTAGGGAGGTCTGGAATATGTGTGAGATTATTCCATGAAGTGGAAATCATGGCTGGGAGGGCTCTTTGGGAGGCCGAGGCGGGCAGATCACGAGATCAGGAGATCGAGACCATCCTGGCCAACATGGTGAAACCCTGTCTCTACTAAAAATACAAAAATTAGCTGCCTGTAGTCCCAGCTACACAGGAGGCTGAGGCAGGAGAATCGCTTGAACCCGGGAGGCGGAGGTTGCAGTGAGCTGAGATCGTGCCACTGTACTCCAGCCTGGCGACAGAGTGAGACTCCATCTCAAATAAAAAAGAAGGTTGTGCTGGCCTGGCACGGTGACTTACGCCTGTAATCCTGCACTTTGGGAGGCTGAGGCTGGTGGATCACTTGAGGTCAGGAGTTTGAGACCAGCCTGGCCAACATAGAGAAACCTTGTCTCTACTAAAAGTACAAAAATTAACCAGGTGTTGTGGCACACGCCTGTAATCTCAGCTACTCAAGAGGCTGAGGTAAGAGAATCGCTTGAACCTAGGAGACTGAAGTTGCAGTGAGCCAGGATAGTGCCACTGCACTCCGGCCTGGGCAACAGAGCAAGACTCCATCTCAAAAAATAATAATGATAAATAAATAAAATAAAAAAGAAGATTGTGCTTTCATTTGGCGGTAATGGTCCCCAACTATACCCTCTGCTCCTCATCCTCCTGGGTATAGTTCAAAGTCATTTCCCAGTCCCCTTAAGCTCACTTCTCCCTCCGATTCCTTTCACTACAGGGAGCATCCGGAAACACACTCTCTTCTCAGGACAACCTGGGCCCAACTGGCAGGCTGTTTCTGTCAATTACACAGCCGTGGGACGGATACAGGTACAGAGAAGCAAGGGGTCAGGTCCTTGCACATGGTAGGCACACCCAATGTTGAAATAAATTGAGGGGGCGTGGTGCTGTGGCGCATGCCTGTATTCCCAATACTTTGGGAGGCTGAGGAGGGAGGATTGCTTCAGGACAGGAGTTCAAGACCAGCCTGGGCAACATAGCAAGACCCCATCTCTACAAAAAAATACAAAAATTAGGTGGGCATACTCGGGAAGCTGAGGTGGGAGGATCATTTGAGCCCTGGAGATCAAGGTTGCAGTGAGCTATGATCGCACCACTGTGCTCCAGCCTGGAAAAGAGAGCAAGACCCTGTCTGGGGAAAAAAAAAAATGAGGCTGGGTGTGGTGGCTCAAGCCTGTAATCCCAGCACTTTGGGAGGCCGAGAATGGTGGATTACGAGGTCAGGAGATCGAGACCATCCTGGCTAACACGGTGAAACCCCGTCTCTACTAAAAAATACAAAAAACTAGCCAGGCGAGGTGGCGGGCACCTGTAGTCCCAGCTACTCAGGAGGCTGAGGCAGGAGAATGGCTTAAACCTGGAAGGCGGAGCTTGCAGTGAGCTGAGATCCGGCCACTGCACTCCAGCCTGGGCGACAGAGCGAGACTCCGTCTCAAAAAAAAAAAAAAAAAAAAAGAAATGAATTGAGGGTCTGGGACAGGGAGTAGGGATTCTGGGTCGTGGAATGGAGCCGAGTCAAATCAGGCGCTTAGGGGTATGGGCTGTGTGCTCACTCCCAGCCCATCTCCCTTTTTCTCCAGTTCACCGTGGTGGGCGTTTTTGGAAAGACCCCAGAGCCAGCTGTGGCAGTCGATGCAACCAGCATTGCTCCTTGTGGGGGTGAGAACAGGCCCTGGGAGGCCCGGATCTCTCAGAATCCGGGGTGGGCTGGGAGAGGGCTGGAGAGCATCACTCAACTTGCTTAAATATCCTATTTTGATCCCCCAGAGGGCTTTCCTCAGTGTGACTTTGAAGACAACGCCCATCCCTTCTGTGACTGGGTCCAGACTTCCGGGGATGGTGGACACTGGGCTGTCGGACATAAAAATGGACCCGTCCACGGCATGGGTCCCGTGGGAGGTTTCCCTAATGCAGGTGAGGAGATTGAAGAGCGCTCGCGCCAAGGAATCACTCAGTCTGCTCCCAGGTAGTGGGCTGGCTGCTGTGACTGGTGGGAGAAGCTGTTTCGGGCGGGGGAAGATCAGGCCACAGGTGTTTATTCGGAAGTTGCCATGGTACCGGAACTGTGGAGATAGCAGAGTAACTTAAAGATTCTCAGGGCGGGGGGATCACTGAAATCCTAAGAAAACCCGGGCAATCTCACTTCATGGAGCCCAAGGCTTCAAAACCCACCACCTCATTTTCAGTCTAGACATTTATGAGTGGCTCATGCCTGCAATTCCAGCACTTTGGGAGGCTGAGGCGGGAGGATTGCTTGGGCCCAGGAGTTTGAGCTCAGCCTGGGCAACATAGTGAGAACCCCATCTTTAGAAAAAAAAAAAAATATATATATATATATATATATATATATTTTAAATTAGCCAGATGTGGTGGCGTGTGCTTGTAGTCCCACTTACTGGCAAGGGGTGGGAGGATCGCTTGAGCTCAGGAGTCGAGGCTGCAGTGAGCTGTGATTGAACCAGTGCGCTCCAGCCTGGGCAACAGAGTGAGACCTTGTCTCTAAAAAATAAAAATAAAAAAATAGGCCAGGCATGGTGGCTCACACCTTTAATTCCAGCACTTTGGGAAGCCGAGGCAGGTTGATCACTTGAGGTCAGGAGTTCGAGACCAGCCTGGGCAACATGGTGAAACCCTGACTCTACTAAAAATATATAAAAATTAGCCGGGAGTGGTGGTGTGCACCTGTAGTCCCAGCTACTCAGGAGGCTGATGCAGGAGAACTGCCTGACCCCAGGAGGTAGAGACTGCAGTGAGCTGAGATCACACCACTGCATTCCAATCAGGGCAACAGAGTGAGATTCTGTCTTACAAAAATATAAAAAGAAATAATTTTTTAAAACGACAATAATGAGGGCAGGGTGCAGTGGCTCACACATGTAATCCCAGTGCTTTGGGAGGCTGAGGCGGGTGGATCACTTGAGGCCAGGAGTTTGAGACTAGCCTGGCCAACATGGTGAAACCCCACCTCTACCAAAAACACAAAAATTAGCCAGACATGGTGGTGCACACTTGTAATCCCAGCTACTTGGGAGGCTGAGGCAGGAGGATCGCTTGAACCTGGGAGGTGGAGGTTGTAGTGAGCTGAGATCGTATCACTGCACTCCAGCCTGGGTAACAGCCTGGGTAACACACACACACACACACACACACACACACACACACACACGCGCGACATTAATGAATGTAATCTAGGTTGCTGGTTTGCTTCTCTGTTTTTTTTTTTTTTTTTTTTTTTTTTTTTTGAGATGGAGTCTTACTCTGTCACCAGGCTGGAGTGCAGGTGTGATCTCGGCTCATTGCAACCTCCACCTCCCGGGTTCAAGTGATTCTCCTGCCTCAGCCTCCCGAGTAGCTGGGATTACAGGCACGCACCACCACACCTGGCTAATTTTTGTATTTTTAGTAGAGACGGGTTTTACCATGTTGGGCAGGATGGTCTTGATCTCTTGACCTCGTGATCGGCTGGCCTCGGCCTCCCAAAGTGCTGGGATTACAGGTGTGAGCCACTGTGCATGGCCGCTTTTCCCTTTCTTTGTGACCCCACCTTCTTTAGTTAGATGTCTAAAATGAGCAGAAAAAATAATGCTATGACCTGGGGAATTTGAGTGTTTGCTCAGATCCCTGTTCAGAAAGCAAAGCTTCGCTAAAGCAGCAGTTGGTATGTCCTGTGCAGGCTTCTTATCTTGCCTGTTCCCTTCCTTTGCCCAGGGAGTCACTATATCTACCTTGAGGCTGACAAGTTCTCCCAGGCAGGGCAGTCGGCCAGACTGGTGAGCCGGCCCTTCTGCGCCCCGGGTGACATCTGCGTGGAGTTCGCGTACCACATGTATGGCCTTGGGGAGGGTACTATGCTCGAACTCCTCCTGGGAAGTCCTGCGGGGAGCCCTCTGATTCCTCTCTGGAAACGCCTGGGGTCTCAGCGCCCTTACTGGCAGAACGCCTCCGTCACCATCCCCTCAGGACACCAACAGCCCATGCAGGTGAGAGACAGAGGCGGGGGTCCTGTCTGTGTGGGGTGAGAGGGCCAATGCCTGGGATCTGGGGGCGCCACCAGTGCTGAAGAGGTGGAGAACTGGAAAGAGAGCCAAGAAAAGGGGAACTTCATGTTACGGAAAGTGAGAAAGGGGCCGGGACAGGGCTGGACCGTTGAGGCTGGAACAAGGTGACATTTTGGCAGAGGACAGACTCTATGCCCAGCGGAATCACAGAGTTGCTGGAGATTCATTTTTGTTTCTCTCTCCATCTTTCTCCCTTGTCGCCTTCAGCTGAATTTCAAGGCCATCCGGGGCAGCAACATGGCCTTTGTGGTTGCTATGGGTTTCATCTTGATCAATCCTGGGACTTGTCCAGGTAAGACTAAAGTCCAGGCTCCAGGAAGGGGGCAGTGCCCTGAGATCACCATTCCCCAGGGTTCTCTCTATGACCTGCTTAAAATGCAGGTCCTGGCCGGGTGCGGTGGCTCAAGCCTGTAATCCTAGCACTTTGGGAGGCCAAGACGGGCGGATCACGAGGTCAGGAGATCGAGACCATCCTGGCTAACACGGTGAAACCCCGTCTCTACTAAAAATACAAAAAAATTAGCCGGGCGCAGTGGCGGGCCCCTGTAGTCCCAGCTACTCGGGAGGCTGAGGCAGGAGAATGGCGTGAACCCGAGAGGCGGAGCTTGCAGCGAGCTGAGATCCGGCCACTGCACTCCAGCCTGGGCGACAGAGCGAGACTCCGTCTCAAAAAAAAAAAAAAAAAAAAAAAAATGCGGGTCCTCCCTGGAGCCCGAATTCTCACCCAGCTGGCTTTATTTTCCATCTTCTACCCACCTCTCCTTCCCCTGCACTTCAAGATGTTTGCCTGGGTGAATGTGGCTTAGATACCATGGATTTTGGGGGCTGGATCCAGAACTCCTTCCTTCCCCTGCAATCTTGAAGGCCAGACCCATATCCTATTCATTTTTGCTTTTCTCGTACCTGGCACAATATCTGACATATATTACTGTTTGTTGAGTGAATAAAGGTTGGGGGTTGGGAGTAGAAAGAAAGGTGTAAATAAGTCGCCCATTGGAGCCCACTCCAATTAGATGGTAGTGAAGAGGGTGGTGGTATGGTTTTGACTAAACTCCAGGGATTCTTTTTTTTTTTCTTTTCAGTAAAAATGCTACCAGAGCTTCCTCCCATATCTCCAGTTTCTTCCACTGGCCCTTCTGAAACCACCGGCCTCACAGAAAACCCTACAGTTTCCATAGAAAAACCCACCGTCACCACAGAAAAGCCCACAGTCCCCAAAGAAAAGCCCACCATTCCTGCAGAAAAACCCACCATCCCTACCGAAGAGCCCTCTTTCGCCACAGAAAAACCCACCATCCTCACAGAAGAGCCCACCATTCCCACAGAAAAACCCACCACTCCCTCAGAAAAACCCACCATCCCTACCGAAGAGCCCTCTTTCCCCACAGAAAAACCCACCATCCCCACAGAAGAGCCCACCATTCCCACAGAAAAGCCCACCATTTCCACAGAAGAGCCCACCATTCCCACAGAAAAGCCCACCATTTCCACAGAAAAGCCCACCGTCCCCGCAGAAGAGCCCACTACCACCACTGAGGAGACCACCATCTCCACAGAAGAGGCTGCCATCCCCACAGAAAAACCCACTGTCCCCATGGAAAAACCCACTATCCCCACTGAAGAAACCACCACCTCCATTGAAGAGACTACCATCTCCGTAGAAAAACCCACCATCCCCACAGAAAAACCCACTATCCCCACGGAAAAACCCACCATCCCCACGGAAAAACCCACCATCTCCATTGAAGAGACTACCATCTCCACAGAAAAACCCACCATCTCCACAGAAAAACCCACCATCCCCACGGAAAAATCCACCATTCCCACAGAAAAAGCCACCATCCCCACGGAAAAACCCACCATCTCCACAGAAAAACCCACCATCCCCACAGAAAAACCCACCATCCCCATTGAAGAGACTATCATCTCCACAGAAAAACCCACCATCCCCACAGAAAAACCCATCCCCACAGAAAAATCCACCATCTCCACAGAAAAACCCACCATCCCCATTGAAGAGACTATCATCTCCACAGAAAAACCCACCATCCCCATTGAAGAGACTATCATCTCCACAGAAAAACCCACCATCCCCACAGAAAAACCCACCATCTCCACAGAAAAACCCACCATTCCCATTGAAGAGACTATCATCTCCACAGAAAAACCCACCATCCCCACAGAAAAACCCACCATCCCCACAGAAAAACCCACCATTCCCACGGAAAAGCCCACCATCCCCACGGAGAAACCCACCATCCCCACGGAAAAAACCACCATCTCCCCAGAAAAACCCACCATCCCCACGGAAAAACCTACCATCCCCACAGAGAAGCTCACAGCCCTGAGGCCACCCCATCCCAGTCCCACAGCCACTGGGGTGGCAGCCTTGGTGATGTCTCCACATGCTCCAAGTGCCGCTATGACCAGTGTGATCCTGAGCACTAACACAACCCCCAGACCCAATACAGGTATGAGGTGGATGGAGCATGGGCCAAGGCTGAATGTGAGAGAGAGTGACTAGGAGAGAGTCAGGGAAAGGGATGCTTCTGGTAGAAAGCTTCTAGTTGCTTCTAGTGCTCTCAGGGCAGAGCTGAAGCAGTCCATGGTGACTTCAGAGGAAATGGGGAGGACTGCCCAGAGTGAGAGGGACGGCAGGGCTGGAATGGGTGGGGGTGTCAGGACCCAGCCACGAGGCTTCCTTCTCCTTGTTTGTTATTGAGATATAATCCATATTTCATAAAATTCACCCTTTTAAAGTGTACGATTCTAGGCGGGGCATGGTGGCTCACACCTATAATCCCAGCACTTTGGGGGGCCAAGGCAGGAGAGTTGCTTGAGCACAGGAGTTCGAGACCAGCCTAGGCAACATACATAGCAAGAGCCTGTCTCCACTTTAAAATGGAAAAAAAAATAAAAATAAAAAAATTAGCTGGGTGTGGTGGTGCACACCTGTAGTCCCAGCTACTCGGGAGGCTGAGGTGGGAGGATCGCTTGAGTCTGGGAGGTTGAGGCTGTAGCAAGCCATGACTGGGTCACTGTACTTTAGCCTGGGCAACAGAACGAGACCCCATCTTAAAAAAAAAAAAAAAAAAAAAGCAAAAGCAATTCTATGGTTTCTAGTGTATTCCCAAGGTTGTGCAACCATTATCACTTTCTTTTTTTTTTTTTTTTTTTTTTTTTTTGAGACGGAGTCTCGCTCTGTCACCCAGGCTGGAGTGCAGTGGCACTATCTCGGCTCACTGCAAACTCCGCCTCCCGGGTTTACGCCATTCTCCTGCCTCAGCCTCCCAAGTAGCTGGGACTACAGGCGCCCGCCACCTCGCCCGGCTAATTTTTTTGTATTTTTAGTAGAGACGGGGTTTCATTGTGTTAGCCAGGATGGTCTCGATCTCCTGACCTCGTGATCCGCCTGTCTCGGCCTCCCAAAGTGCTGGGATTACAGGCTTGAGCCACCGCGCCCGGCCCCCCATTATCACTTTCTAATCCAGACATTTTCATCACTCCAAAAAGGAACCCTGTACCTATTAGCAGTCCTCACTCCACCTTCCCCCAGCCCCTGGCAACCACAAATTTCTTTCCTTTATCCATGGATTTGCCAGTTCTGGACAGTTCATACAAATGGAATCATGCAGTATGTGAACCTTTATGTTTAGCTTCTTTCACTGAGTGTAATGTTTTCCGGGCCATCCATACTGTAGCATGCATCAGGACTTCATTCCTTTAAAAAAAGTATTTCTTATTGTTTATATTTTTGAGACAGGGTCTCGCTCTGTCACGCAGGCTGGAGTGCAGTGGCGTGATCTCGGCTCACTGCAACCTCCGCCTCTGGGGCTCAAGCAACTATCCTGTTTCAGTCTCCTGAGTAGCTGGGGCCACAGGCCTGCACCACCAGGACTGGCTAATTTTTGTATTTTTAGTAGAAACGGGGTTTCACCATGGTGGCCAGGCTGGTCTTGACCTCCCAAAGTCCTGGGATTACAGGGGTGTAATCTTGTAATTACACTTCAGTCTCGGCCTCCCAAAGTCTTGGGATTATAGGGGTGAGCCACTGTGTCCGGCTCTAGGGTTTCACCCTGTTGGCCAGGCTGTTCTTGAACTCCTGGCCTCAAGTGATTCACCTGCCTTGGCTTCCCAAAGTGCCGGGATTACAGGTGTGAGCCACTGCGCCCAGCCTAAAATTGTTTTATTTTTAAATTTGTTTTGTAGGGATGGGGTCTCACTATGTTGCACAGGCTGGTCTCAAACTCCTGGCCTCAAACAATCCTCCCACCTCAGCCTCCCAAAGTGCTGGGATTATAGGTGTGAGCCACCACACCCAGCCTTCAGGCCTTGTTATGGCTGAATAATACGGTCCTGTTTCCTAGAGAAGAACTTGAGTTTGGGGGTAGAGGAGAGACAGGGAGACTCCCTGAGAAAGCTGTGGAATGAAAGCATGACAGAGGCTGTTTTCTCCTTAGAGCGCTGCCCCCCAAATGCACACTACGAATCCTGTGCTTGTCCTGCTTCGTGCAAGAGTCCCAGGCCTAGCTGTGGGCCACTCTGTCGGGGGGGCTGTGTCTGCAACCTTGGCTTTTTGTTTAGTGACAACCACTGCATCCAGGCCTCTTCCTGCAATTGCTTCTACAACAACAACTACTATGAGGTAAGCCCCTCGGGATGCTCTGGTCCCATGAGGGAGATTGATGGCAGAACACCTGGGTTCCAGCTCCATCTGCTCCCCAGGTGAAGGAACGGGGATCACTGGATAGTCCCAAAGGGTCAGCTCAGAAGCAATGGTTACACAACAGCGAAGTTTTTCATTCATTTCTTTTTTTTTTGAGACAGGGTCTCGCTCTGTCGCTCAGGCTGGAGTACAGTGGCATGATAGTGGCTCACTGCACTTCCTGGGCTCCAGTGATCCTCCCACCTCAGCCTCCCAAGTAGCTGGGACTACAGGCACATGCCACCGTGCCCAGCTAATTTTTGTATTTTTGGTAGAGACAGGGTTTCACTACGTTGCCCAGGCTGGTCTTGAAATCCCGTGTTCAAGCAATCCTCCTGCCTCAGTCTCCCGAAGTGCTGGGATTGTAGGCATAAGCCACTGTGTCTGGCTTGCCACATTTAGTTTTTTCTTTTTTGAGACAAAATCTCGCTCTGTCACCCAGGCTGGAGTGCAGTGGCACGATCTCAGCTCACTACAACCTCCACCTCCTGGGTTCAAGCAATTCTCTGCCTCAGCCTCCCAAGTAGCTGGGATAACAGGCTCACGCCACCATGCCCGGCTAATTTTTGTTATTTTTAGTAGAGATGGGGTTTCACCATACATTCTTTACCTCTTTAAATCTTTTATCCGTATTTATAAAGTGTACACGATAAGATTTTCTACCTCATATAAGATTGTTGCAAAGACGAAATTAAGTCCTAACACATACAATTACTTAATAAGTGTTAATTATTATCGTTAGCAATTTATGATAAATATATGCAACCTATTAATTAAAAGTGCATTAAAGGGCCCGGCAAGGTGACTCACACCTGTAATCCCAATACTTTAGGAGGCCGAAGTGGAGGGATTGCTTGAGCCCAGCAGTTTGAGGCTGCAGTGGGCTATGATTGCACCACTGCACTCCAGCCTGAGTGACAGAGAGACTCTGTCTCTAAAAAAAAAAAAAAAAAATGTGCATTAAGTAATTCATTAATGTCCAGAGCCTCTTCTCAGCTCCAGGTGTTCTTCTTCCCATTGACATTACAGCTTCTGCTTGTCCCTTTTGGGACTATTATTTCCTTCCCTTACCCCCTTTAACCAGTCTCCTGGGTCTCTCTGAGTTGCTGCTGAGATTAGCTTCAGCCACAGCCTGGGCAGAAAGATCTGTTACAACCATTGGCACCAAGAGGCTCTTCCCTCTACCCTAGGAGGCGTGTATTCGCTTCTTTTCTTTTCTTTTCTTTTCTTTTGGTGGGGGGGGCAAACTATTCACTCACTGTCCTCTATTGATGCAAAAACCATTCTAGCCATTTTTGTTTGTTTGATTGTGAGACAGAGTTTCGCTCTTGTTGCCCAGGCTGGAGTGCAGTGGCGCCATCTCCACTCACCACAACCTCTTCTTCCCGGGTTCAAGCAATTCTCCTGCCTCAGCCTCCCAAGTAGCTGGGATTACAGGCACGAGCCACCACGCCCGGCTAATTTTGTATTTTTGGTAGAGACGGGGTTTCTCCATGTTAGTCAGGCTGGTCTCGAACTCCCGACCTCAGGCGATCTGCCCGCCTTGGCTTCCCAAAGTGCTAGGATTACAGGCGTGAGCCTCCGCACCTGGCTGTATTCACTTCTAATAGGTTCATTTATGCATTCAAGAAATGTTTGTTTAGTACTTTCTTCAAAGATTTTTTTTTTTTTTTTTGAGATGGAGTCTTGCTCTTGTTGCCCAGGCTGGAGTGCAATGGCGCCATCTCCACTCACCACAACCTCCTCTTCCTGGGTTCAAGCAATCCTCCTGCCTCAGCCTCCCAAGTAGCTGGGATTATAGGCATGAGCCACCACGCCCAGCTAATTTTGTATTTTTAGTAGAGACGGGGTTTCTCCATGTTAGTCAGGCTGGTCTTGAACTCCCGACCTCAGGCGATCCACCCGCCTCGGCTTCCCAAAGTGCTGGTATTACAGGCGTAACCCTCTGCACCCGTCTGTATTCACTTCTAATAGGTTCATTTATGCATTCAAGAAATGTTTATTTAGTACTTTCTTCAAAGGTTTTTTTTCTTTTTTTTTTTTAGAGATGGGGTCTGGCTCTGTTGCCCAGGCTGGTCTATGAACTCCTGGGCTCAACCCATCCTCCCATCTCAGCCTCCCGAAGTGCTGGGATTACAGTGGTGAACCGCCACACCCAGCCTATGTAGTACTTTCTACTCTCCTGGCCCTGGGGTTGCTATGGATAGGTCGTGGTCCTTGCCCTCATAATGCTCTCAGATTCAGAGACACACATGGGGTTTTGGTTTACTCCATTCAGCAAGTATTTATTGAAGGAGAGCATTCATGGGAGGACTAAGATGTTGGGTAAAGACAGACATTGGCAGGGTGCAGTGGCTCATGCCTGTAATCCCAGCACTTTGGGAGGCCAAGGTGGGCGGATCACCTGAGGTCAGGAGTTCGAGACCAGCCTGGCCAACATGGAGAAACCAAGTCTCTACTAAAAATACAAAAATTAGCCAGGCGTGGTGGTGCACACCTTTAATTCCAGCTACTCGGGAGGCTGAGGCATGAGAATCGCTTGAACCCGGGGGCGGAGCTCACAGTGAGCCAAGATCGTGCCACTTCACTCCAGCCTAGGCAACAGAGCGAGACTCCATCTCAAAAAAAAAAAAAAAAAAAAAATGACAGACATAAGGCTGGGTGCGGTGGCTCACACCTATAATCCCAGCACTTTGGGAGGCCAAGGCAGGAGGGTCACTTGAGCTCAAGAGTTCAACACCAGCCTAGGCAACATAGCAAGACTCCATCTCTCCAAAATGTTAAAAAAAAAAAAAAAAAAAAAGTCGGGCATGGTGGCATGTGCCTGTAGTCCCAGATACTTGGGAGGTTGAGGCAGGAGGATGGTTTGAGCCCAGGGGGTCAAGACTGCAGTGAGCCATGATTGCGCCACTGCACTCCAGTCTGGGCAACAGAGTAAGACCCTGTCTCTTAAAAAACAAAAACAAGTGGGAGGAGAGAAGCGTTCTGGGAGGAGAGAAAAGTGTGTGCAAATGTGCTGTCATGGTGAGAATATCAAGTATCAAGTAGGTGGTGGGGAGAGGAATCACATGAGGAAGGTCAGGTCTGCATGGGAGGGCAGCCTCTCTCCCGGGCACGGTGGAGGGAAAGAAAGAATAGCTGGTCACGGAGGCTCACGCCTGTAATCCCAGCACTTTGGGAGGCTGAGGCAGGTGGATCACCTGAGGTCAGGAGTTCAAGGCCAGCCTGGTCAACATGGTGAAACCCCATCTCCACTAAAAATACAAAAATTAGCTGGACACGGTGGTGGGTGCCTGTATTCCCAGTTACTCAGGAGGCTGAGCCACGAGAATCACTTGAACCTGGGAGGCAGAGATTGCAATGAGCTGAGATCAGACTCCATCCAAAAAAAAAGACAGAAAAAAGGAGGGAAGGAAGGAACGAAGACAAAGAAAGGAAAGAAAAAGGAAAAGAAAGGAAGGAAGGAAGGAAGAAACGAAAGAGGGAAGGAAGGGCCGGGCTCAGTGACTCGTGCCTGTAATCTGAGCACTTTGGGAAGCCGAGGCAGGCAGATCTCCTGAGGTCAGGAGTTCGAGACCAGCCTGGCCAACATGGAGAAATCCCATCTCTACTAAAAATACAAAAAATTTGCTGGGCATGGTAGTGGGCATCTGTAGTCCCAGCTACACAGGAGACTGAAGCAGGAGAATTGCTTGAGCCCGGGAGGTGGAGGTTGCAGTGAGCCGAGATCGCACCACTGCACTCCAGCCTGGGTGACAGAGTGAGATTCCATCTTAAATAAATAAATAAATATAAAAAAGAAAAAGAAAAGAAAAGAGAGAAGGACTCTAGGAGCTATATGACCATGTGACCTCACTTCCCTTTCTCCCAGCCTGGGGCAGAGTGGTTCAGCCCCAACTGCACAGAACGTTGCCGCTGTTGGCCAGGGAGTCGGGTCGAGTGCCAAATCTCTCAGTGCGGGACACACACTGTATGCCAGCTTAAGAATGGCCAGTACGGATGCCACCCCTATGGTGAGAGCCCCTCCCCATGCTGTCCCCGCCTGCCAGCCTGTTGGAGTGGACTTGATGCCAGGATCCCAGTCCCTCGATTGAGCAGAGGAACGGGGGCCTGCCACCAGGCATCGGGTGGGCCGGCGTGTGGGGTCCAGCCTGGAGGGACCACAGAAGCAGCTTCGCCTGTTCTTTCCCCCTCCCAGCAGGCACTACCACCTGCTTGGTCTACGGAGATCCTCACTATGTCACCTTTGACGGGAGGCACTTTGGCTTCATGGGCAAGTGCTCTTACATCTTGGCCCAACCCTGTGGCAACTCAACAGGTAGGCCCTGGAGATGCCTCCGCGGTCTGGGGGAAGGGTCTGTGGGCAGTACTGCTGGGCATGAGGCATGGTGGGTGGCAGGAAGTGGCAGGGCGCAGATGGGGGAAGAGGCAAAATAGGAGCAAGTTCTTCTGTAAGGTGAGGGTTGAAGGCCGGGCACAGTGGCTCACACTGGTAACCTCAGCACTTTGGGAGGCTGAGGCAGGAGGATCACTTGAATCTAGGAGTTTGAGACCAGCCTGGGCAGCACAGCAGGACTCTCATCTCCATGAAAAAAACAAAAAAATTAAAAATCAGGCTAGGCGCAGTGGTTACGCCTGTAATCCCAACACTTTGGGAGGCCGAGGTGGGTGGTTCACCTGAGGTCAGGAGTTTGAGACCAGCCTGGCCAACATGGTGAAACCCCGCCTCTACTAAAAATATAAAAAATTAGCTGGGCATGGTGGCAGGCACCTGTAATCCCAGCTACTCGGGAGGCTGAGGCAGGAGAATCGCTTGAACCCGGGAGGCAGAGGTTGCAGTGAGCAGAGATTGCGCCACTGCACTCCTGCACTCTAGCCTAAACAGTAAGAGTAAAACTCCATCTCAAAAAAAAAAAAAAAAAATCAGCTGGGTGTAGTGGGACACACCTATAGTCCCAGCTACTTGGGAGGCTGAGGCAGGAGGATCACTTGAGCCCAAGAGTTGGAGGCTGCAGTGAGCTGTGATCACACCACTGCACTCCAGCCTGGGTAGCACAGTGAGACCCTATCTTGAAAAATAAATAAATACATACATAAATAAAGTTAAAAAAATAAAAAAGAAGAAGAAGAAGGTAGTGGTTGGGGAGCACAGACGCCCTGGAGGATGTTCTAGCCACTGAACGGAGACAGACACGTTGTGGCTGCAGGCTCTCCTGACAGAGGCAGTTGTGGTCTGCTGCTGTGTGGGTCCGGCCTCCCCTGCTGGACTTTGGGGTCAGTGTCTCTGTGGTGTTCATCTCTCAGGGCTTAGGGCACTGCTTATGGCGGATGTTGAGAAATGAGCCCCTGGACTCTTTTCATTCTTCTCCCCACCCAGACCCATTCTTCAGGGTGACAGCCAAGAATGAGGAGCAGGGACAGGAAGGTGTGTCCTGCCTAAGCAAAGTCTACGTGACCCTTCCCGAGACCACCGTCACCCTGCTTAAGGGCAGACGTACTCTGGTGAGCCCTGTTCCGCCCCCACCATCCTTGCAGGGTCTCACCGTGTGTCCTGGCTGACTCTTCCAGGCCCTGAACCCTTCCATGGATGGGATTCCACAAGACAGTGGCCTGCAATCCCAGCTCCTTGGGAGGCTAAAGTGGGAGGATTGCTTGAGGCCAGGAGTTTGAAGCCAGCCTGGGCAAGATAGCAAGACCCTGTCTCTTTAAAAATAGAAAAAATTAGCCTGGTGTGGTGGCACTTGCCTATTGTCCCCTCTACTCCAGAGGCTGAGGTGGGAGGATTGCTGGAGCCTGGGAGGTCGAGGCTGCAGTGAGCTGTGATTGCACCATGGCACTCCAGCCTGGGCAACATAGTAAGACACTGTCTCTTAAAAACAAAAACAAAACAATGGTGAGAAAACTCCAGTCCACTCCTGGTGGATGAGATTGTTAGGCTGCTGTGGATGGTGTCCTGCCTTCCAGCCATGGAAATGGAAGTCTGCTGGGGTCGTCCTTGACCCCCAGATCTGTCTCTCTGTCTCTTGCCTCTGCCCTGCCTTTCCAGGTTGAGGGTCAGCGAGTTACTCTCCCAGCCATACCCTCTAAAGGCGTCTTCCTGGGTGCAAGCGGGCGATTTGTGGAGTTGCAGACGGAGTTCGGTTTGCGGGTGAGATGGGATGGTGACCAGCAGCTGTATGTGACTGTGTCCAGGTGAGGCGGTGTCCCGGCCAGGCAACTGCCACTTCTTCTTGCTGCCCACCCTGCCCACTCCCCTTCCATCCCTGGCAGCACTACTTGATCCTTTATGCATCTCCTGATGGGTGGGAAGCACCCTGCTTAAGTGGCAGGGCTCTCTTTGGACCAGGAGACAGGAGAAAATGGTTTCAGGGCATGTGATAGATAGCAGGATGGACGTACATGCTTTGGTAATGTGCTAGAAGAAGCACTAGTGAGTTCTGGAGGCTTTCAGAAGGGCAGACACCTGGTCCCATTCTCAAAGGAAGAGTGGCTCCCCAGATGGACAAAACAAGGGAAAGAAAGATTCTTTTTCTTTTTCTTTTCTTTTTTTTTTTTTGAGACAGGATCTCTCGCTCTGTTCCCCAGGCTGGAGTGCAGTGGTGCTATCTCGGCTCCCTGCAACCTCTGCCTTCCAGGTTCAAGCGATTCTCCTGCCTCATCCTCCCAAGTAGCTGGGATTACAGGCATGCACCACCATGCCCAGCTAATTTTTGTATTTTTAGTAGAGACAGGATTTCACCATGTTGGCCATGCTTGTCTCAAACTCCTGACCTCAGGTGATCCTCCTGCCTCAGCCTCCCAAAGTCTTGGGATTACAGGGGTGAGCCACTGTGCCCAGTGAAAGAAAGACTTTAGAAAAATAATTTATAGCGGCCAGGTGCAGGGGTTCCCGCCTGTAGCTCTGCACTTTGGGAGGCTGAGGTGGGAGAATCCCTTGGGGCCAGGAGTTCCAGACCAGCCTGGGCAACATAGTGAGACCCCATCTCCACCAAAAAAATTTAAATATTAGCCAGGCGTAGTGGTCTATACCTATAACCTCAGCACGCTGGGAGGCCGAAGCAAGAGGATCACTTGAGTCCAGGAGTTCCAGACCAGCCTGGACAACATAGTGAGATCCTGTCTCTTAAAAAATAAAAAACAAAATTAGCTGGTTGTGGCAGTACTTGCTTGTAGTCTCAGCTACTCAGGAGGCTGAGGTGGGAGGATCGCTTGAGCCTAGGAGTTGGAGGCTGCAATGAGACGAGATTGCACCACTGCGCTCCAGCCTGAGCCACAGAGGGTGACCCTATCTCTAAAATAAATAAATAAATAAATAAATAATTTGGCCAGGCACGGTGGCTGACGCCTGTAATCCTAGCACTTTGGGAGGCCGAGGCAGGCAGATTATCTGAGGTCAGAAGTTCGAGACCAGCCTGGCCAACATGGTGAAACCCCGTCTCTACTAAAAATACAAAAAAATTAGCTGGGCATGGTGGTATGTGCCTATAATCCCAGTTACTTGGAAGGCTGAGGCAGGAGAATCGCTAGAACCTGGGAGGCGGAGGTTGCAGTGAGCCAAGATTGCACCACTGCACTCCAGCCTGGGTGATAGAGGGAGACTCCATCTGAAAAAAAGAAGAATAAAATAAAATAAAAATAAATAAATAAATAAGGCGGGAGTGTTTTAGGGCCAGCAAGGGGTTTGCTGTGGCTGGACAATGAACAGAGGGGAAGGAGGCTTGGGGGAGAGCCATGGGGTCCTCTTGTCCAGTCCGCACCTCTTCATCCTCCTCACGCCCTCTGCTTTGGGACCCCAGCTCCTTGCCTTCTCTGCCACTGCCCCTCAAGGACCGAGGCTCCTCCTCTCCATTAACGCCAGCTCCTCTCCTGTTCCCCCAGCACCTACTCTGGCAAACTCTGTGGTTTGTGTGGAAACTATGACGGCAACAGTGACAATGACCATCTGAAGTCGGACGGCAGTCCAGCAGGAGACAAGGAGGAGCTGGGGAACAGCTGGCAGACGGACCAGGACGAGGACCAGGAGTGAGCAAGGAACCCTCCCACGGGGGCCCCGGGAGGGTCCTGTCCCCTTCCTGGCACTCTCTTTCTTTCTTTTTTTTTTTTTTGTTTTTGAGATAGAGTCTCCCTCTTTCGCTCAGGTGAAAGTGGTGCGATCTTAGCTCACTGCAACCTCCACCTCCCAGGCTCAAGCAATTCTCCTGCCTCAGAAACCCGAGTAGCTGGGATTACAGGCGCTCACCACCACACCCGGCTAATTTTCTTATTTTTGTAGAGATGGGGTTTCACCATGTTGGCCAGACTGGTCTCAAACTCTTGGCCTCAAGTGATTCACCTGCCTTGGCCTCTCAAAGTGCTGGGAATACAGGTGTGAGCCACCACGCCATCATGCCCAGTCCTCCCCCGCCCCATTTTTTTTTTTCTTGAGATGGGATCCCCCCTCTGTCTCCCAAGCTGGAGTGCAATGGCACGATCATGGCTTACTGTAGCCTCAAACTCCTGGGCTCAAGCAATCCTCCCTTCTTTGCCTCCCAAGTAGCTTGGATTATACCATGCCCAGCTAACTTTAACAAAATGTTTTGGTAGAGATGGGGAGTCTCACTATGTTGACCAGGCTGCTGGCCCTCCCCAACTTTTCTTTTTTTTTTTTGAGATGGAATCTTGCTCTGTCACCCAGGCTGGAGTATAGTGGCACAGTCTCAGCTCACTGAAACCTCTGCCTCCTGGGCTCAAGTGATTCTCGAGCCTCAGTCTCCCTAGTAACTGGGATTATAGGCACACGCCACCACACCTGTCTGATTTTTGTATTTTTAATAGAGACGGGGTCTCATCATGTTGGCCAGGCTGGTTTCGAACTCCTGACCTCAGGTGGTTCGCCTGCCCTGGCCTCCCAAAATGCTGGGATTACAGGCATGCACCACCGCATCCAGCCTCTGCCCTCCCTTTAAAAATGACTGGCATTGCCCCTTTCTCCTCTCTACCCTGGAGACTTCAAGTTGTTTTTCCGTTGTTCAATATTCTTCTTTGTTTGTTTGTTTGTTTTTAGAGACAGGGCCTTGCTCTGTCACCCAGGCTGGACTGCAGTGGTTCAATCACACCTCACTGCAGCCTCCAAGTCCTGGGCTCAACTGATCCTCTCACCTCAGCCTCCTGAGTAGCTGGGGCTATGGATGTGCCCCACCAAACCCAGCTAATTTCATATTTATTTTTGTACAGATGGGATCTCACTGCGTTGCCCAGGCTGGCCTGGAACTCCTGGGCTCAAGCGATTCTCCCTGCCTCGGCCTCCCACAGTGCCTGGCCAGGGCTCGGTGTTCAGACGTCCTCTGGGAGGGGTTTCTCAGCTGACAGGCTGGTTTGCCAACCAGGACCTGGCCTGCCAACCTTGCTGCCTGCTGGGTTAGGGCTCAGCTGGAAGCGAGTCTTTGTCTTTAGGGCATTTGGGGTGGGTCTCTTGCAGGTGTCAGAAGCACCAGGTGGTGAATCCCCCGTCTTGTGATTCATCTCTGCAGAGCAACATGTCGGGGCCAGGATTCTGTGGACGGCTGGTCGACACCCGTGGCCCGTTTGAGTATGAAGGAGGGCAGGCAGGGTCACGCAGGGGTGGTGCTTGGCACCTGGGCTCCTCCAAGGGTCTGGCCCCATCCACCCCATTCCCCCTGACTTGGTCTCTCCCTGCAGGACATGCCTGCTGCATGTGAAGGCCACTTCCTTCTTCGACAGCTGCATGCTTGATATGTGCAGATTCCAGGGACTGCAGCACCTGCTGTGCACACACATGTCCACCATGACCACCACCTGCCAGGACGCAGGCCATGCTGTGAAGCCCTGGAGGGAACCCCAGTTCTGCCGTGAGTTGTGCCAAATGCAGGGGAGAGGCCAGGCGCAGTGGCTCACACCTGGATCCCAGCACTTTGGGAGTCCGAGGCGGTGGATCACGAGGTCAGGAGTTCGAGACCAGCCCGGCCAGCACGCTGAAACCCCGTCTTTACTGAACATACCAAAATTAGCCAGGCATGGTGGCATATACCTGTAGTCCCAGCAACTCTGGAGGCTGAGGCAGGAGAATCGCTTGAACTTGGGAGGTGGAGGTTGCAGTGACCCAAGATTGCACCACTGCACTCCAGCCTGGTGACAGAGTGAGACTCCATCTCAAAAAACAATAAAAATAGGCTGAGCACGGTGGCTCACGCCTGTAATCCCAGCACTTTGGGAGGCCGAGGCGGGTGGATCATGAGGTCAAGAGTTCAACACCAGCCTGGCCAAGATGGTGAAACCCTGTCTCTACTGAAAATACAAAAATTAGCCGGGTGTGGTGGCACATGCCTGTAATCCCTGCTCCTCAGGAGGCTGAGGCAGAGAATTGCTTGACCCCGGGAAGCAGAGGTTGCAGTGAACCGAGATCGTGCCATTGCACTCCAGCCTGGGTGACAGAGCGAGACTCCGTCTCAAAAATAAATAAATAATAAATAAATAAATAAAATAAAAATACAAAAATTAGCTGGACGTGGGAGTGGGCGCCTGTAATCCCAGCTACTTGGGAGGCTGAGGCAGGAGAATCGCTTGAACTCAGGAGGTGGAGGTTGCAGTAAGCAGATATTGCATCACTGCACTCCAGCCTGGGCAACGAGAGTGAAACTCTGTCTTTAAAAAAAAAAAAAAAGTGTTTTTGTGCAGCCAAGTCATCACATGCAGGCACACGGTACAGGCCCTAGGCAGGGGAGGCAACGAGGCTGCCTCCCAGCTCCTGGTGTGGCCCAGCTCTTTGGGGAAGCTGCTTCAGGGCAGGTCTATCCCCTGACTCAGACCTCACAGGTGGCCCCATTCCCCTGCAGGCCAACAGCTCACCTGGGGCATGTTTTTACAGCAGCGTGACCAGTGGTGGGTCGGTCAGTTCCCACCATAGGTCTATCTAAGGCTCTCAGGGCAGGCGCCTTAGTGCTGGCCCTGCAGCCCCAGGGAGCCAGCCAGGCTTCTTGGGGAAGCTTCTCACAGTCACTCTCTCTTCTCGAGAAGCCTGGAGCTGGGACCCTCCCGAACGTGTCTTTCCTGTTTCCCACCTGGCCTCGTGGCTTGTTCGTCTCCTTCTCACCCAAGCTTTTCCCTCCACCAGCAATGGCTTGCCCGCCCAATAGCAAGTACTCCCTGTGTGCCAAGCCATGCCCTGACACCTGCCATTCAGGATTCACCGGCATGTTCTGCTCAGACCGGTGCGTGGAGGCCTGTGAATGCAATCCAGGCTTCGTCCTCAGTGGCCTCGAGTGCGTACCTCGCTCCCAATGTGGGTGCCTCCACCCTGCAGGCAGCTACTTCAAGGTGAGCGGCTTCGTGGACCTCTCAGCCCTGCAGCCAGAAAGGGCCTGCTCCCTGCTCTCACACCCCCTGCAAGCTCTTTCTTTTCTTTTTGTTTCTTGTTTTGTTTTGTTTTTGAGACAGAGTTTCTCTGTCCCCAGGCTGGAGTGCAGTGACGCGATCTTGGCTCGCTGCAACCTCCGCCTCCTGGGTTCAAGCAATTACCCTGCCTCAGCCTCCCGAGTAGCTGGGACTACAAGCGTGTGCCACCATGCCCAGCTAATTTTTGGATTTTTAGTAGAGACAGGGTAGGGGGCGGTTTCACCATGTTGGCCAGGATGGTCTTGACCTCTTGACCTCGTGATCTGCCCACCTGGGCCTCCCAAAGTGCTGGGATTATAGGCATGAGCCACCACACCTGGACCTTGGTTTTTTTTTGTTTTTTGTTTTCTGTTTTTGAGACAGAGTCTCACTCTGTTGCCCAGACTGGAGTTCAGTGACACGGTCTCAGCTCACTGCAACCTCTGCCTACTGGGTTCGAGTGATTCTCCTGCCTCAGCCTCCCGAGTAGCTGGGATTAAGGCACGCACTACCACGCCAGGCTGATTTTTGTGTTTTTAGTAGAGATGGGATTTCGCCATGTTGGCCAGGCTGGTCTCAGACTCCTGACCTCAAGTGATCCGCCCACCTTGGCCTCCGAAAGTGCTGGGATTACAGGCGTGAGCCGCCACACCTGGCCTCGGATAGATCAGTTTTGGTTGAAATGATGAACAGACCCAGAAATGATGAAGTGACTGAAGCAGTGAATGGATGCCGAGCTTTTGCAGCGAATCTCGGAGCTTCAGGAAGAGAGGATGTCTCCCCACGATTAAGCCAGTGATCTGGACAGCTCTGGTGGGCTCTGGTGTCAGATCTGGGAACAAACAAAACAAAACAAACCACTTTCTCTTCCTTTCCTGCTGTCTTCCCCCAGGTAGGGGAGCGGTGGTACAAGCCGGGCTGCAAAGAGCTGTGCGTCTGTGAAAGCAACAATAGAATTCGCTGCCAGCCCTGGAGGTGTAGGGCCCAGGAGTTCTGTGGCCTTCAGGATGGTATCTATGGCTGCCATGCCCAAGGTGAGCCATCAGGGTGGAAGGTGAGCCAGGGGCTGCCCAGGCAACACCAGGCAAGGTGATGGGTCCTGCCCAAAGCAGCTTCCCCAGACAGCTGAGTCTCCACCAAGGCCTAGGAGGGGCAGCATTGTCAAGGACCCAAAGGGTGAGGTTGGGGATGTCAGTGTTTCTCTTCGGCAGCTCCAAACCAAGCCAACCACACTTCCTAGGGAAACACCGCATCTGTGGGTGGGCAGTGGGGACCATGCCGGTGTGGACACACCAGTGTGGCAGCTCTAGGTCAGAGCTTCCGGGGAGTGGAGCAGTGAGACCGTGAACTCCATCTTCTCCTCCGCAGGTGCCGCCACCTGCACGGCCTCGGGCGATCCCCACTACCTGACCTTCGATGGCGCCTTGCACCACTTCATGGGCACCTGCACCTATGTCCTGACCCGGCCTTGCTGGTCCAGGTCCCAAGACAGCTATTTTGTTGTGAGCGCCACCAATGAGAACCGCGGGGGGAACCTGGAGGTCTCCTACATCAAAGCTGTCCACGTGACGGTCTTTGACCTCAGCATCTCACTGCTCAGAGGCTGTAAGGTCATGGTGGGTGTCTTTCTCCTGCCTCCTGAACCCTGAACACCCAGCCTGCTTGCTTCTCTCCTCTGCCCCTCCTTGCCCACATGCCCACCTCTCTGGCTCCTTAGAGCACCTGGGAGGCACCTGCAGCTGACCCAGACCCTCCTCCTTGGACTCCCTCCTCCCTCTGTGAAATGCCCACCGGCACCAGCCCCTCCTGCTCCCAGTTTTTTGCTCCCCCCCGACCGCTTTTTTTTTTTTTTTTTTTTTTTTCTGAGACAAGGTCTTGCTCTATCATCTAGGCTGGAGTGCAGTCGTGAAATCATAGCTCATTGTAGCCTTGACCCCCTAGGCTCAAGTGATCCTCCCGCCTCAGCCTCCCAAGTAGCTGGAACTACAGGCACGCACCACCTGCATGGCTATTTTTTTTTTTTTTTTTACTTTTTGTAGAGACGGGGTTTCTCCATGTTGCCCAGGCTGATCTTGAGATCCTGGGCTCAAGTAATCCTCCTGCCTTGGCCTCCCAAAGTGCTGGGTTTGCAGGCATGAGCCCCCGTCCTTGACTTTAACCCAAGTTCCTTCCTGACTCTCCTTTCTACGTCCTCCCTGCCTCTGAAGCTGAATGGCCATCGGGTGGCCCTACCTGTGTGGCCTGCACAAGGCCGGGTGACCATAAGGCTCAGCAGCAACTTTGTCCTCCTCTACACGAACTTTGGGCTCCAAGTTCGCTACGACGGGAGCCACTTGGTGGAAGTGACAGTCCCCTCCTCCTATGGCGGCCAGCTCTGCGGGCTGTGCGGTGAGTTTCCTGGGCACCTGCAGGGAAAGCTGGGGCAATGAGGAGGCATGTGACCTGGTCCCCCCACATCTCTGTGAGGTGTTCTAAGTACTTGTCAACTGACTAATTGGTTGAGGACATTAGGCATGAAGGTAGGAGTTAAGGGAAGATGGAGATGAAGAGACAGAAAGGGGCCACGTGCAGTGGTTCATGCCTGTAAATGCAGCACTTTGAGAGCCCGAGGAGGGCAGATCACTTGAGGTCAAGAGTTCGAGACCAGCCTGGCCAACATGGTGAAACCCTGTCTCTACTAAAAATACAAAAATTAGCTGGGCATGGTGGTGCACGCCTGTAATCCCAGCTACTCAGGAGGCTGACGCAGGAGAATCGCTTGAACCTGGGAGGCAGAGGTTCCAATGAGCCGAGATCACGCCTATACTTCAGCCTGGGCGATAGAACAAGACTGCATCTCAAAAAAGAAGAAAAAGCAAAAGAGACAGAAAGGGTTAACTTTGCTATGTAGAGTGAAGAGTGAGGGTGCCTCTTCTGGCCAGGAGGTTGGTGGCCCTGGGGCCTGGCCTGCTGGGGGGCCCTTTGTTGCCTATTTTAACGACTCCCTCCTCCAGGGAACTACAACAACAACAGCTTGGACGACAACCAGCGCCCCGACAGAAAGCCTGCGGGCGATTCCGTGCAGCTGGGGGCAGCCTGGAAGTTACCTGAATCCTCTGAACCTGGGTGAGCTGGGGGCCGGGGGAGCCAGGCAGGAGGGGCTGGGCCAGGGAAAGGCCTCGGGGGGCAGCTTGGAAGTGTCCTCTGTGTGTCCCCACTCCCTCTGTGCTGTACTTCCCTACTGGCCAGAAACTGGCAATCTTGCCGGTTTAGACTCTCCAAGATTGGAGTTGGTAAGAAGTTATTCTGACCTCCCACGCCCCCACGCCCACGCCTACTGACTTCTATGTTTAGTGATCTCTTTGGAGGGTCCACTTGAGTTCACCCTGAGGTCTAACCTTTTTCCTTCCTGCTGCATCTCCTGGCCTTCCCACTTGAGGGCACCGTTTTGTCCTCTTCTCCTGTATCCCTCTCTCTTTCCCTGCCCACTTTTTGTTTTGTTTTGTTTTTGAGACAGAGTCATGCTCTGTCACCCAGGCTAGAGTGCAGTGGCACAATCTTGGCTCAATGCAACCTCCGCCTCCCAGGTTCAAGTGATTATCCTGCCTCAGCCTCCCAAGTAGCTGGGATTACAGGTGCTCTCCACCACGCCCAGTTAATTTTTGTATTTTTGTTTGAGACAGGGGTTCTCCATGTTGGCCAGGCTAGTCTCAAACTCCTGACCTCAGGTGATCTGCCTGCCTTGGCCTCCCAAAGTGCTGGGATTGCAGGTGTGAGGCACTACGCCCAGACCCTTGTCCACTTTTGCTTCGGTTTGGGAGATGGTTCCTCAGGCCCTCAGGTCTTCCCTTCCCTTTTTCCTTTCCTTTTTTTCTTTTCTTCTCTTGAGATAGGGTCTTGGTCTGTTGCCCAGGCTGGAGTGCAGTGGTGCAATCATAGCTCACTGAGGCCTCCAACTGCTGGGCTCAAGCCATCCTCCCACCACAGCCTCCTGAGTAGCTGGGACTATAGGCACATGCCGCCACACCCGGCTAATTTTTTAAAGTTTTGTGTAGAGATGGGATCTCACTATGTTGCCCAGCCTGGTCCTGAACTTCTAGTCTCAAACAGTCCTCCTACCTTGGCCTCCCAAAGTGCTGGGATTATAGGCATGAGCCACTGTGCCCAGCCTGTAGGCCTCAGTTTCGATTCTCTCCTCATTCAGCTGTTTCCTTGTGGGTGGCAAGCCCTCCAGCTGCCAGGAGAACAGCATGGCAGACGCCTGGAACAAGAACTGTGCGATCTTAATAAACCCTCAGGGTAAGACATGTCCCTGCTGGCCCTTTTTCCTCCCTGAAGGACAGGAGGCTGGAGAGGGAGTCTAGTCAGGGAGGGAGAAACAAAACCAGAAACAGATGGAAAGGCACGAGGAAGGCAAATGGGACCACAGGACCAACCAGCGGTCACCTTCTTGGGACCTATGACTGATGGGTCTGTATTTGTGTCTCAGGCAGTAAATAAATCCGGGATTTCTTTTCTTTTCTTTTCTTTTCTTTTCTTTCTTTTTCTATTAGAAATGTTTTAATAGGCCGGGCGCAGTGGCTCATGCCTGTATCCCAGTACTTTGGGAAGTTGAGGAGGGCAGATCATGAGGTCAGGAGTTCGAGACCAGCCTGGCTAGCACGGTGAAACTCTGTCTCTACTAAAAATACAAAAAATTAGCTGGGCCTGGTGGTGGGCACCTGTAGTCCCAGCTACTCGGGAGGCTGAGGCAGGAGAATCACTTTAACCTGGGAGGCAGAGGTTGCAGTGAGCTAAGATTGCGCCACTGCACTCCAGCCTGGGCCACAGAGTGAGACTCTGTCTCAAAAAAAAAAAAAAAGAAAGTTTTAATAGAGATGGGGGACTCTCACTGTGTAGCCCAGGCTGTTCTCGAACTATGGACCTCAAGGGATCCTCCCCTTGGCCTCCCAAGTAGTTGGGGTGACAGGCATGAGCCACGACACCTGGCCCTTTTTTCTTTTTTCTTATTTTTTAAAGATAAGGTCTCACTCTGTTGCCCAGGCTGGAGTGCAGTAGCATGATCACAGCTCACTGCAGGCTTGAACTCCTGGGCTCAAGTAATCCTCCCGCTTCAGCCTACAGAGTAGCTGGGACCACAGGCATGCACCACCATGCCCAACTAATTTTTTTTTTTTTTTTTTGAGTTGGAATCTCGCTCTGTCACCCAGGCTGGAGTACAATGGTGTGATCTCGGCTCACTGCAACCTCCGCCTCCCAGGTTCAAGTTATTTTCCCACCTCAGCTTCCCAAGTAGCTGGGATTACAGGCCTGTGCCACCAAACCCAGCTCATTTTTGTATTTTTAGTATTTCACCATGTTGGCCAGACTGGTCTTGAACTCCTGACCTCAAATGATCCGCCTACCTCAGACTCCCAAAGCGCTGGGATTACAGGCGTGAGCCACCGTGCCCGGTCTAATTTTTTAATATTTTGGAGATGAGGCCTTGCTATGCAGCTCAGGCTGGTCTTGAACTCCTGGGCTCAAGTGATTCTCCTGCTTTGCTCTCCTAAAGTGCTGAGGTTACAGGCGGGAGCCACCACACAAATCTGGGTTTTGTTTGTTTGTTTGTTTTGTTTTTATTCTCTGTTGCCCAGGTTGGAATGCAATGGCACAATCATAGCTCATCCTGCCTCAGCCTCCCGAGTAGCTGGGACTACAGGTGTGCACCACCATGCCCAGCTAATTTTTGTAGAGACACAGTTTCACCATATTGCTCAGGCTGGAAAATCCAGGGTTTTTTTTGTTTGTTTTGTTTCATTTTGTTTTGTTTTTGAGACAGAGTCTCGATTTGTTGCCCAGGCTGGAGTGCAATGGCGCTATCTCAGCTCACTGCCACATTTGCCTCCTGGGTTCAAGAGATTCTCCTGCCTCAACCTCCCGAGTTGCCTAGACTACAGGCGCTCTCTACAATGCCCTGCTAATTTTTGTATTTTTACTAGAGATTGGGTTTCACCATGTTGGTCAGGTGAGTCTCGAACTCCTGACCTCAAGTAATCTGCCCGCCTCGGCCTCCCAAAGTGCTGGAATTGCAGGTGTGAGCCACTGTGCCTGGTGGGAAAATCCAGGTTTTGATTGAAGTGGATGTCAAATCAGCCCCCAGGGAAGCCACATGGCCCTGCTCCTTCCCAGCCCCTCCCCTGGCTCACCTGCCTTCTTTCTTCCTGCAGGACCCTTCTCTCAATGTCACCAGGTGGTGCCTCCCCAGTCCAGCTTTGCCAGTTGCGTGCATGGCCAGTGTGGGACCAAGGGCGACACCACGGCCCTGTGCCGCTCCCTGCAGGCTTACGCGTCCCTGTGTGCCAGAGCTGGCCAGGCTCCTGCCTGGCGGAACAGAACTTTCTGCCGTGAGTGACTGGCCACCTGTTCCCACAGCCTGTAGGAACCCTCCAGAATTCTGCCCTCCCTTTCTTCCTCTAAATTCTATATATATATTTTTTTTCTTTGAGATGGTGTCTCGCTCTGTTGCCCAGGCTGGAGTGCAGTGGCGCAATCTCGGCTCACTGCAACCTCCACCTCCTGTGTTCAAGTCAAAGTGGGCGGATCGCCTGAGGTCAGGAGTTGGAGACCAGCCTGGTCAACATGGCAAAACCCTGTCTCTATTAAAAATACAAAAATTGGCCAGGTGTAGTGGTGAGCACCTGTAATCCCAGCTACTTGAGAGGCTGAGGTGGGAGAATCGCTTGAACCTGGGAGGCAGAGGTTGCAGTGCACCGAGATTGCACCACTGCAGTCCAGCCTGGGCGACAAGAGTGAAACAAAAAACAAGAATGTAAAACAAAACAAAACAAAACAAAAAGTTCTGGCGATGGATGGTGGTAATGGCAGCACAACAATGTGAATGTACTTAGTGCTGTTGAAGTGTACATTTAAAAATTGTTGCTGGGCGCGGTGGCTTATGCCTGTAATCCCAGTACTTTGGGAGGTCGAGGCAGGTGGATCACGAGGTCAGGAGATTGAGACCATCCTGGCTAACACGGTGAAACCCTGTCTCTACTAAAAACACAACATATTAGCCAGGCGTGGTGGCGGGCACCTGTAGTCCCAGCTACTTGGGAGGCTGAGGCATGAGAATGGCATGAATCCGGGAGGCGGAGCTTGCAGTGAGCCAAGATCACACCACTGCTCTCCAGCCTGGGTGACAGAGTGAGACTCTGTCTCAAAGAAAAAAAAAACTGTTAAATGGTAGATTTTATGTCTGTTTTTTTTTGTTGTTGTTGTTTTGCTTTTGAGAGTCTCGCTGTCGCCCAGGCTGGAGTGTGGTGGTCTGACCTTGCCTCATTGCAACCTCTGCCTCTCAGGTTCAAGAGATTCTCGTGCCTCAGCCACCTAAGTAGCTGGGACGACAGGCGTGCACCACCATGCCCAGCTGATTTTTGCATTTTTAGTAGAGATGAGTTTCACCATGTTGGCCAGCCTGATCTCGAACTCCTGACCTCAGGTGATCCACCTGCCTCAGCCTCCCAAAGTGCTGGGATTACAGGTGTGAGCCACCATGCCCAGCCACTACTAGGAGCTTTTGACGCCCCAAGGTTTGGGGGCTGGAAATGCCACCCCGCTCTTCCTAATGCTCTCATTTTCCTTAGCTATGAGGTGCCCACCTGGCAGCAGCTATAGCCCCTGTGGCAGCCCCTGCCCAGCCACCTGCAGCAGCCTAAACGACCCAAGGGACTGCCCCAAAGCACTGCCCTGTGCTGAGAGCTGCGAATGTCAGAAAGGCTACATCTTGAGTGGAACCTCCTGCGTGCCCCTTGGCCAGTGTGGCTGCACCGAGCCAGCGGGCTCCTACCATCTGGTAAGAGGCCAGCTAGCAGGGGCCCTGCCCTTTCCAGGCCCACATGTTTGGGGTCAGGGCAAGCTCAGGAGAGGCAGGAGGAAGGCTCAGAACCTGGAAGGGGAAGGGCTGGCCAAGGCTGGGGGACGAGGAGGAAGGCCAGATGCTGCAGCCAGCTTCAACCGGGACATCAGCCCATCTCCTGATTCCAACTTTCTGTTGGCTCTGCTGATCCCTGTGGCCCACAGGTCGGGGAGCGCTGGTACACAGAGGACACCTGCACCAGGCTCTGCACCTGCTCCATCCACAACAACATCACCTGCTTCCAAAGCACCTGTAAACCCAACCAGATGTGCTGGGCCCTGGATGGGCTACTCCGTTGTCGGGCCTCAGGTAGGAGGACCATGGTGATAGGGGGACTCCACAGCCCTGAGGCCAGCTCTCCCAACTCCCCAACAGACTCCCTGCTGCCTGTAGCACTGGGGTTCAGGTTTCGGCTCATAACTCTGCTGCAACGAAGAGCTTCCTGTGGGAAAGATGACCTCCAACTGCTGAGAAGGGAGACTCACCCATCCTTCTCCTGCAGCGGCCACCAACTTAGATGGAATATTATAAATCCTTTCCTGGGGCCGGACACCGTGGCTCACACTTGTAATCTCAGCACTTTGGAAGGCCAAGGCAGGCAGATCACTTGAGACTAGGGTTCAAGACCAGCCTGACCAACATGGCTACACCCCGTCTGTACTAAAAATACAAAAATTAGCCTGTAATCCCAGCTACTCGAGAGGCTGAGGCAGGAGAATTGCTTGAACCCAGGAGGCAGAGGTCACAGTGAGCAGATATCATGTCATTGCACTCCAGCCTGGGTGACAAGAGCAAAACTCCGTCTCTAAATAAATCTTTCCCTGGAGGCCAGGCATGGTGGCTCATGCCTGTAATCCCAGTGCTTTGGGAAGCTGAAGTCAGAGGATCACTTGAGGCCAGTAGTTCAAGACCAGCCTGGGCAACATAGTGAGACGCCCATCTCTACAAAAAACAAAAACTAAAAAATTAAAAATTAAAATTAAAGACATTGCACCTGTAGCTCCTGCTACCTGGGAGGCTGAGGTAGGAGGATCTCTTGAGCCCAGGAATTAGAGTCTGCAGTGAACTATGATCTTGCCACTGCACACCAGTCTGGGTAACAGAACAAGACCCTGTCTCTAAAAAAAATTTTTTTAAATTAGTTGAATAGGGTACTTCATGCCTGTAGTCCCAGATACTCTGGAGGCTGAGGTAGGAGGACGGCTTGAGCCCAGGAGTTTGAGGCTGCAGTGAGCTATGATCATGCCACTGCATTCCAGCCTGAGTGACAGAGAGAGACCATGTCTCAAAAAAGAAAAAAAAAATCCTTCCTCCAAAGAATCATGCCCCCCTCGGCTTATAAACTTCACGCCTCCTAACCCTGGCCCCAGGTGTTTTTTCTTTTTTTCTTTTCTTTTTTTTTTTGTTGAGACGGAGTCTCACTCAGTCGCCTAGGCTGCAGTGCAGTGGCGTGATCTCCGGCTCACTACAAGCTCCGCCTCCCGGATTCACCCCATTCTCCTGCTTCATCCTCCCAAGTAGCTGGGACTACAGGCACCCGCTGCCACGCCCAGCTAATTTTTTGCATTTTTAGTAGAGACGGGGTTTCACCGTGTTAGCCAGGATGGTCTCGATCTCCTGACCTCGTGATCCACTCGCCTTGGCCTCCGAAAGTGTTGGGATTACAGGCATGAGCCATCGCGCCCGGCCTTTTTTTTCTTTTTTTGAGGTAGTGTCTTTGTCGCCCAGGCTGGAGTGCAGTGGCGCAATCTCAGCTCACTGCAACCTCCGCCTCCCTGGTTCAAGCGATTTTCCTGCCTCAGCCTTCCAAGTAGCTGGGATTACAGGCACATGTCACCACACCCTATTTTTTTTTTTTTTTTTTGTATTTTTTTAGTAGAGATGGGGTTTTGCCATGTTGGTCAGGCTGGTCTCAAACCAGCCCGCCTCGGCCTCCCAAAGTGCTGGGATTAGAGGCATGAGCCACTGCGCACAGCTGAACCTAGAGTCTTGACTCTTTTCTGGAAGGCAGGGAGAACCCAGGACTAGTTTCCCAGGGACCCTGTACCTGCCAGAGGAACATCATAGCCCAGCTGTCTCTCTGTCCTCCCAGGTATGGGAGTGTGTCAGCTCCCAGGGGAGTCCCACTACGTGAGCTTTGATGGTAGCAACCATTCCATCCGGGACACCTGCACTCACGTCCTGGTGAAAGTATGCCACCCCGCCATGGCCTTGCCGTTCTTCAAGATCAGTGCCAAGCATGAGAAGGAGGAAGGTGGAACTAAGGCTTTCCGCCTTCACGAGGTCTACATTAACATCTACGACGCCCAGGTCACCCTGCAGAAGGGCCACCGTGTGCTGGTGAGCTGGGTGTGGTGACCGGGCCTGGGAGGGAGTATTGGGGAGGGGACTCCGGTCCCTGCTCCTACTTACCATCACTGTCCTCCTGTTTAGATCAACAGCAAAAAGGTCACCCTCCCCGCAATCTCCCAGATCCCCGGGGTCAGCGTCAAGTCCAGCAGCATCTACACCATTGTTAACATCAAGATCGGGGTGCAAGTCAAGTTTGACGGGAATCATCTCTTAGAGATTGAACTCCCCACAACCTACTATGGAAAGGTGAGGAAAACATCTGGCTCTGCTAGCTGGGGAGGCAGCCCCAGGGAGATTGGTGGCTGGCAGGGATTGGGGGCAGTGTTCACATCGTGCCTGCCCAAAGAGGCCACTCCTCAGGATGGAGCAGGGCAGTGGTGGTGCGCGCCTTTCTGTGTAGGATGGACAAGAGTGTTTCCAGGAAAAAAACCAGGAAAAACCGTTCTGGCTGGGCGTGGTGGTTCACGCCTGTAATCTCAGCATTTTGGGAGGCCGAGGCAGGTGGAGCACCTGAGGTCAGGAGGTCGGGATCAGGCTGGCCAACATGGTGAAACCCTGTCTCTATTAAAAATAAAGATTTAAAAAATTAGCTAGGGGTGGTGGTGCGCACCTGTAATCCTAGCTACTTGGGAGGTTGAGGCAAGAGAGTCACTTGAATCCGGGAGGCGAATAGTGAAGTGAGCCGAGATCATGCCACTGCACTCCAGGCTGGGTGACAAGACCCGAAACTCAAAAGAAGGGAGGGAGGGAAGGAAGGAAGGAAGGAAGGAGGGAGGGAAGGAAGGAAGGAAGGAAGGAAGGAAGGAAGGAAGGAAGGAAGGAAGGAAGGAAGAAAAACTGCTCTCGTGGAAGGAAGGAAGGAAGGAAGGAAGGAAGGGAGAAAAGCCACTCTTGTGGAAGGAAGGAAGGAAGGAAGGGAGGAAGGGAGGAAGGAAGGAAGGAAGGAAGGAAGGAAGGAAGGAAGGAAGGAAGGAAGGGAGAAAAGCTGCTCTCGTGGAAGGAAGGAAGGAAGGGAGGGAGGGAGGGAGGGAGGAAGGAAGGAAGGAGGGGAGAAAAGCTGCTCTCGTGGAAGGAAGGAAGGAAGGGAGGGAGAAAAACCGCTCCCGTGGGAGGAAGGAAGGAAGGAAGGAAGGAAGGAAGGAAGGAAGGGAGGAAGGAAGGAAGGAAGGAAGGGAGGGAGGGAGAAAAACCGCTCTCGTGGGAGGAAGGAAGGAAGGAGGGAGGGAGGGAGGGAGGGAGGGAGAAAAGCCGCTGTCGTGCTTCCCCAGCACCGAAAAACCACTCTCCCCACCCAGGTCTGCGGCGTGTGCGGGAACTTCAATGATGAGGAAGAGGATGAACTAATGATGCCCAGCGACGAACTAGCGCATAGTGATAGTGAATTTGTGAACAGTTGGAAAGATAAGGACATTGACCCAAGGTAGTGGTCCCCTAAGACCCTCTAGCTTTTCTTTCTTTTTTTTCCGAGACGGAATCTTGCTCTGTCACCCAGGCTGGAGTGCCATGGCACGATCTCGGCTCACTGCAACCTCCACCTCCCGGGTTCAAGAGATTCTCCTGCCTCAGCCTCCCGAGTAACTGGGATTACAGCCACCCACCACCATGCCCAGCTAATTTTTGTAGTTTTTAGTAGAGATGGGGTTTCACCATGTTGGTCAGGCTGGTCTCGAGCTCCTGACCTCAGGCCATGCGCCTGCCTTGGCCTCCCAAAGTTCTAGGTAATCATGAGCCACCGCACATGGCCCCTCTAGCTTTTCTTTTTTTCTTTTTTTTTTTCTTTGAGATGGAGTTTTGCTCTGTTGCCCAGGCTGGAGTGGCAGTGGCGCAATCTTGGCTCACTGCAACCTCTGCTTCCCAGGTTCAGGCAATTCTTGTGCCTCCACCTCCCCAGTAGCTGGGATTACAGGTGCATGACACCACGCCCCACGCCTGGCTAATTTGTGCATTTTAGGTAGAGACAGAGTTTCACCATATTGGCCAGACTGGCCTTGAACTCCTGACCTCAAGTGATCCACCTGCCTCAAAGTGCTAGGATTACAGACGTGAGCCATTGTGCCTGGCCACCCCTCCAGCTTTTCATAGTAACATGAGCTAGGGAGCCAGACTGTAGGGCACACCTGGGGCAGGAAGACCAGAATGTTCCTTTTACCGTCTTCAATTTTTAAATTTTTTGTAGAGACAGGGTCTCGCCACGATTGCCCAGGTTGGTCTCAAACTCCTGGGCTCTAATGATCCTCCCGCCTCGGCTTCCCAAAGTGCTGGGATTACAGACCAGAATGTTGCTTTGTGTGTGTGATTTGAGAGTGATGACTTCTGGGCATTCTGGGGTGATGTGTGTAATTGATCCATCTCAAGGCTGCTAGAACCCACTTGGGGAAATGTGAAAATCTTCTTTTCCTCACTTAGAAACCTTGGAGGAGGAGGCCGGGCGCGGTGGCTCAAGCCTGTAATCCCAGCACTTTGGGAGGCCGAGACGGGCGGATCACGAGGTCAGGAGATCAAGACCAGCCTGGCTAACACGGTGAAACCCCGTCTCTACCAAAAAAGACAAAAAACTAGCCGGGCGAGGTGGCGGGCGCCTGTAATCCCAGCTACTCGGGAGGCTGAGGTAGGAGAATGGCGGGAACTGGGGAGGCGGAGCTTGCAGTGAGCTGAGATCCGGCCACTGCACTCCAGCCTTGGCGACAGAGCGAGACTCCGTCTCAAAAAAAAAAAAAAAAAAAAAAAGAAACCTTGGAGGAGGAGCAGGAGCAGTGGCTCATGCCTGTAATTCCAGCACTTTGGGAGACCAAGACTGGAGGATCACTTGAGGCCAGGAGTTTGAGACCGGCCTAGGCAACATAGCAAGACCCCGTCTTTATAAAAAATTAAAAACTAAAATTAGCCAGGCATGGTGGCACATGCCTGTAATCCCAGCTCCTCGGAAGGCTAAGGCAGGAGAATCGCTTTAACCTGATACGTAGAGGTTGCAGTGAGCCGAGATCACGCCACTGAACTCCAGCCTGGGCGACAAAGTGAGACCTTGTCTCCAAATAAACCAAAACCAAAAATTAGCTGGGTGTGGTGGCGTGCACCTGTAATCCCAGCTACTCAGGAGGCTGAGGCAGGAGAATTGCTTGAACTCGGGAGGCGGAGGTTTCAGTGAGCCAAGATTGCACTATTGCACTACTGCACTCAAGCCTGGGCGACAGAGTGAGACTGTCTCCAAAAAAAAAAAAAAAGATAAACAAAAAAAAAAAAACAAGCATTGGTTGGGCGTGGTGGCAAGTGCCTGTAGTCCCAGCTACTCGGGAGGCTGAGGCAGGAGAATCTCTTGAACCCAGGAGGGGAGGCAGAGGTTGCAGTGAGTCGAGACTGTTGCATTGAACTCCAGCCTGGGAGACAGAGCAAGACTCCCTCTAAAGAAAAAAAAAAAAATTGTGTCATGGTAGAGGGACAACTGTCCCTAGGCTGATTCTTTTCCCTTCCCAGTTGTCAGAGTCTCCCGGTAGATGAGCAGCAGATTCCAGCGGAACAGCAGGAGAACCCGAGTGGAAACTGCAGGGCGGCCGACCTCCGCAGGGCGCGGGAAAAGTGCGAGGCAGCGCTCCGGGCTCCCGTATGGGCCCAGTGTGCCTCCCGCATAGACCTCACGCCCTTCCTGGTAGGCTGTACGAACACCCTCTGTGAGTTTGGAGGTCTCCACCAGGCCCTCTGCCAGGCTCTGCAAGCCTTCGGGGCCACCTGCCAGAGCGAGGGCCTCAAGCCCCCACTCTGGAGAAACAGCAGCTTCTGCCGTGAGTGTGCCCTGCTGTCACCCCAAACCCCCTTTCCCTCTCTGCTTCCCTGAGAGCTCCCTCACTCTCCTTCCTGTTTGTTCCTAATTCAGCTCTCATTGTCTCTTTGACAAGGACTATTTTTAAATTATTTATATATACATATATATATATATATATATATATTTTTTTTTTTTTTTGGCTGGGTATGATGGCTCACGCCTTTAGTCCCAGCACTTGGGGAGGCCAAGGTGGGTGGATCGCCTGAGGTCAGGAGTTCGAGACCAGCCTGGCCAACATGGTGAAACCCCATCCCACTGAAAACACAAAATTAGCTGGGTGTGGTGGCACATGCCTGTAATCCCAGCTACTCAGGAGGCTGAAGCAGGAGAATGCCTTGAACCTGGGAGGCAGAGGTTGCAGTGAGCTGAGATGGTGACATTGCATTCCAGCCTGGGCAAAAAGGGGCAAAACTCTGTCAAAAAAAATTTTTTTTTTGAGATAGGGTCTCACTCTGTCACCCAGGCTGGAGTGCACCACCACACCAGCTAATTTTTGTATTTTTAATAGAGATGGGGTTTCACCATGTTGGCCAGGATGGTCTCGATCTCTTGACCTCGCAATTCACCCACCTTGGCCTCCCAAAGTGCTGGGATTACAGGCGTCAGCCACCGCGCCTGGCCAAGAAGGTTTATTTTTCTTTTTTTTTTTTTTTTTTTTTTTTGAGACGGAGTCTTGCTCTGTAGCCTGGGCTGGAGTGCAGTGGCCGGATCTCAGCTCACTGCAAGCTCCGCCTCCCGGGTTTACGCCATTCTCCTGCCTCAGCCTCCGGAGTAGCTGGGACTACAGGCGCCCGCCACCTCGCCCGGCTAGTTTTTTGTATTTTTAGTAGAGACGGGGGTTTCACGGTGTTAGCCAGGATGGTCTCGATCTCCTGACCTCGTGATCCGCCTGTCTCGGCCTCCCAAAGTGCTGGGATTACAGGCTTGATATTTTTCTTTAACGCGCTCTCTCATTCTAGGAGCAAAGCAGAGGTGCAGAGGGCACTGCAGAGCTTCTCAGGGCCAGTGGAGGCAATATGAGCACAGCAGCCTGAGCTGGCCGGAGGGTCAGGGTGAACGCAGCGCACAGGTCCTGTACAGAATGGGGCCTCTGCTCAGCTGCCCCACAGCTGGTGGGCATCACCGTGGGTCCAGTGTGACCAGACCCTCTGATTTTTTTTTTTTTGAATAAGCTATAAGCCTGAGTTTTTATTTGATATTGCCATACTTTTTTTTTTCTTTTCTTTTTTTTTTTGAGTTTCACTGTAGCTCAGGCTGGAGTGCAGTGACATGATCTCGGCTCACTGCAACCTCTGCCTCGCAGGTTCCAGTGATTCTCCTGCCTCAGCCTCCAAGTAGCTGAGATTACTCGCATGTTCCACCAGGCCCAGCTAATTTTTGTATTTTTATTAGAGACGGGGTTTCACCATATTGGCCAGGCTGGTCTTGAACTCCTCACTCAGGTGATCCACCTGGCTCAAGCCTCCCAAAGTGCTAGGATTACAGGCGTGAGCCACTGCGCCTGGACATGAAAAATAACAAGTCTTAATTTGAGTTTTTATTATGAGTGAGATTGGACATTTTTTCATATACTTAGGAACCCTTTGAATTTCCCTTTCTGTAAACTATCTGCTCATAGCCAGTCACCATTTTTCCACTAGGTCGTTGGTCTTTATTGAACTATTTCATGGAAGTCCTTTATCTATTATGGAAAGTAGACCTTTATTAGTGCTCTGAGTTACACAGTTTTCCAGTCCTTTTTGTTTTCATCTTTTTGCTTTTTTCTTTTCCATGCAGGAAAAAATTTTTTATGGGGTCAAATATATTAATCTTGTTTTATGTCTTCTGCGTCTTGAGCAATAGCTATAAATGCGAGCCGCACAGAAGCTATAAAACAGTTCGCTGATTCTTTGCTCTAGAAATTTTGTTTGTTTGAGACTGGGTGTGGTGGCTCAAGCCTGTAATCCCAGCACTTTGGGAGGCTGAGACAGGCGGATCACGAGGTCAGGAGATCGAGACCATCCTGGCTAACACGGTGAAACCCCGTCTCTACTAAAAAAATATACAAAAATCTAGCCGGTCGTGGTGGTGGGCGCCTGTAGTCCCAGCTACTCAGGAGGCTGCAGTGGCGCAATCTCCACTCACTGCAAGCTCCGCCTCCCGGGTTCACGCCATTCTCCTGCCTCAGCCTTCCCAGTAGCTGGGACTACAGGCGCCTCCCACTACGCCTAGCTAATTTTTTTGTATTTTTAGTAGAGATGGGGTTTCACCATGTTGGCCAGGCTGGTCTCAAACTCCTGGCCTCAAGTGATCTGCCCGCCTCGTCCTCCCCAAGTGTTGGGGTTACAGGCGTAAGCCACTGTGTCCGACCTGCTCTAGAACTTTTATGGTTTCATTTTTTTATATTTAAGTGAGGTTTTTTTTTTTTTTGGTGTATATTAAGTTTTTGACCCATGAGGATTTATCCTGATGTGTAAAATGAGGTGTGAATCAACTTCGTTTCTGTTTTTCTCCAGAAGGCTAGCCAGCTGTTCCAACATTATTAAATGACGAGTCTGTCTTTGCCCAGGGACTGAGATTCCACACTTTATCTTCTACTAAATTCCCATATATATTTGGATCCTTATCTGAGCTTTCTCCTCTGTTCTATTGGTTCATCTGTATTTGCATGTAACAGTAACACAAAGTCGTAATCACTGAAAATTTAAAATGAGCTTTGGACTGGGCACAGTGGCTTACGCCTGTAATCCCAGCACTTTGGGAGGCCGAGGTGGGCGGATCATCTGAGGTCAGGAGTTCGAGACCAGTCTGGCCAACATGGTGAAACCCTGTCCCTACTAAAAATACAAAAATTAGCTGAGTGTGGTGGTATGTGCCTGTAATTCCAGCAACTCAGGAGGCTGAGGCAGGAGAATTGCTTGAACCCAGGAGGTGGAAGTTGCAGTGAGCCGAGATTGTGCCATTGTACTCCAGCCAGGGTGAAAAGATCAAAACTCTGTCTCAAAAAATAAATAAATAAAAATAAAATAAAATAAAATAAACGTTGACTTATGGAGGGACATTTACTACTGATGGCTTTTTTTTTTTTTTTTTTTTTAGGGATTTCCTGGCTTTTCTGGTTTGCTTATGTCTTCAGCTCAACTTTGAAATCATCTTGTCCTATTAAAAGCACACACGTTTGGGCCGGGTGTGGTGGCTCACGCCTGTAATCCCAGCACTTTGGGAGGCCGAGATGGGCGGATCACGAGGTCAGGAGATCAAAACCATCCTGGCTAACATGGTGAAACCCTGCCTCTACTGAAAATGCAAAAAAATTAGCTGGGTGTAGTGGTAGGCGCCTGTAGTCCCAGTTACTCGGGAGGCCGAGGCAGGAGAATGGCATGAACACAGGAGGCGGAGCTTGCAGTGAGCCGAGATCATGCCACTGCACTCCAGCCTGGGCAACTCAGTGAGACTCCGTCTCAAAAAAAAAAAAAGCACACACACATATAAAATACTTTTGGTGGCTGGGTGTGGTGGCTCACGCCTGTAATTCTAGCATTTTGGGAGGCCAACGTGGGAGGATCACCTGAGGTCAGGAGTTTGAGACCAATCTGGCCAACATGGTGAAACCCCATCTCTACTAAAAATACAAAAATCAGCCTGGCGTGGTAGTGCATACCTGTAATCCCAGCTACCCGGGAGGCTGAAGTAGGAGAATCTCTGGAACTGGGGAGGCAGAGGCTGCAATGAGCCTAGATCACTCCTGGGTGTCAGAGAGAGACTCTGTCCCCACACCCCGCCCCCCACCACAAAAAATATTTTTGGTATATTTTATTGAGATCACATTAAATGTGTACATTCACTGAGGCAGAACTAACATCACCATGTTGCTGAACCTTCCTATCCATGAACATGGTATGCATTTCCATTTGTTCACACTACTTTTGCTTAAGGGCCTTTCTTTAACTCTCCCAACAGAATTAACACCTCCCTTCTCTGTGCCTCCATCATGCCTTGTATACTCTTGCCTGTCAACACACCTACTGATCATGCACATCAAGGTCATGTTGCAGTTACTGTTTGACCACGGTCCTTCATGCTGACTTGGGAGAGTCATTCTTGTTCCTTTTTTTTTTTTTTTTGAGACAATCTTGCTCTGTTGCCCAGGCTGGAGTGCAGTAGTGTGATCTTGGCTCACTGCAACCTCTGTCTCCTGGGTTCAAGCGATTCTCCTGCCTCAGCCTCCTGAGTAGCTGGGACTACAGGCACCTGCCACATGCCTGGTTAATTGTTGTATTTTTAGTAGAGACGGGGTTTCACCATGTTGGCCAGGGTGGTCTCGATCTCCTGACCTCATGATCCACCCACCTCGGCCTCCCAAAGTGCTGGGATTACAGGCGTGAGCCATGGTGCCCAGCTGCTTGTTCCTTTCTTTCCCCCAAAGCCTGGCACACAACCCATACTTAGTAAATGTTTTCTGAATGAATAACAAAAGAACAAAAAAAAAGCTCCCTAAGCCTTGTTGGTCATCCACCCGTAGCCTGGTTTCTACAATCCCTGCCCACCCTGGCTCCCCTGTGACCCTCTCCACTGACCCACTGTCTCCTTCACCCACAGCTCTGGAATGCCCTGCCTACAGCAGCTACACCAACTGCCTTCCCTCCTGCTCACCCTCCTGCTGGGACCTGGATGGCCGGTGTGAGGGCGCCAAAGTCCCCTCTGCCTGTGCTGAGGGCTGCATTTGTCAGCCCGGCTATGTGCTGAGTGAGGACAAGTGTGTCCCCAGAAGTCAGTGCGGCTGCAAGGATGCCCATGGTGGCTCCATCCCTGTGAGTGGGCATGGGAAATGGGACTGGAGGCAACACAGTTTGAGGGTGGTGCTTTCTCCTTTTCTCCGTCTCTCTCTGCCTGGGATACCCATGACTTTACAGCTGGCCCAGGGGTGTGAAGGCTGGTGTAAGTGGCACATTGATCTCTAGCCAGGTCTGGGCTGATGGCACATGATTTGGGTTTTGGATTTGAGGAATCCAAACAAGGAGCATGTGGCATGGTATAGTGGAAAGACCATGGGCTCATTTCAAGCTGATGTTGGATTGAATCCTGATAGTGCCACTGATGCGTCAGATGACCTCTGTTATCTCCGTTTCCTCATCTGTAAAATGGGTTCAGTAATACCTCCTGCACAACATTATGTAAGACACCAAGCACAAACACAGTGCCTTTTTCTTTTCTTTTCTTTTCTTTCTTTTTTTTTTTTTGAGGTGGAGTCTCCCTCTATTATCCAGCAGGCTGGAGTGCAGTGGCATGATCTCTGCTAGCTGCAACCTCCGCCTCCTGAGTTCAAGTGATTCTCCTGCCTCAGTCTCCTGTGTAGCTGGGATTACAGGCAAGCGCCACCATGCCCTGCTACTTTTTGTATTTTTAGTAGAGATGGTGTTTCGTCATGTTGGCCAGGCTGGTCTTGAATTCCTGACTTCAAGTGATCTGCCCGCCTTGGCCTCCCAAAGTGCTAAGATTACAGGCGTGAGCCACCACACTTGGCCCGCACAGTTGTCTTTTAGATGTTCACATGACACTGTGGCTGCCTCTCGCCAGCATTAATTAAACCATTTAGATGGTGGGCTAGGCTGCTGGGGCAAGAGGAAGGAGAACTGGCCCTTCCCTCTTCACTCTTTTTTTTTTTTTTGAGACAGAGTCTCACTCTGTTGCCAGGCTGGAGTGCAGTGGCGTGATCTTGGCTCACTGCAACCTCTGCCTCCTGGGTTCAAGCAATTCTCCTGCCTCAGCCTCTCGAGTAGCTGGGATTACATGCGCGGGCCACCACGCCCGGCTAGTTTTTGTGTTTTTAGTAGAGAAGGGGTTTCACCAGGTTGGCCAGGCTCGTCACAAACTCCTGACCTCAGGTGATCCGCCGTCTCGGCCTCCCAAAGTGCTGAGATTACAGGCGTGAGCCCCTGCGCCCAGCCCCCTCCTCACTCTCTTTCTCTTCCTGTAACTTCTACAGCTGGGCAAGAGCTGGGTCTCCCGTGGTTGCACGGAGAAGTGTGTCTGCACAGGAGGAGCCATTCAGTGCGGGGACTTCCGATGCCCTTCTGGGTCCCATTGCCAGCTCAGTTCCGACAACAGCAACAGCAATTGTGTCTCGGACAGTAAGGGGAGCGACCGGGGAGGTTGGAGAGGGGAGCAGTTGGGGCCAGGGCTGAGGTAGAGGAAGAGGCAGGGTGGGAAGGGGCTTAGCCTGAACCCCAGCACAGTCAGGGGTTGGAGCAGGCGACTGGATCAGGAGGCCTGGCCTCCAGTCTGGCTCTTGCCAACTCTGTGGCCATGTGCCAGGTCCTGATCCTCTCTGGAACCCTCCACCTGTAGGGCAGAAAGAGGGGACTGGCCAAGGCAATCCTCCAAGGTTTTTGTTTGCTTGCTTGTTTGTTTTTTGAGACAGAGTCTTGCTCTGTTGCCCAGGCTGGAGTGCACTGGCACCATGATATAGCTCGCTGCAACCTCAAATGCCTGGAATCAAGTGATCCTCACACCTCAGCCTCCCAAGTAGCTGGGACTACAGGCATGGACCACCACACTCAGCCAATTTTGCTATTTTTTTTTCCTAGAGATGGGGTCTTGCTATATTGCCCAAGATGGGCTTGAACTCATGGGCTCAAGTGTTCCTCCTGCCTCAGCCTCCTAAAGTGTTGAGATTACAGGCATGAGCCACTGTGCCCGGCCCCTCTAAGGTTTTTAATCAGGCCAGGAGAGAGAGGAAGTTGAAGATCAAGGATCCAGGGAGGCTGGGCATGGTGGTTCACACCTGTAATCCCAGTACTTGGGAGGCTGAGGTGGAAGAGTCACTTCAGCCCAGGAGTTTAACACCAGCCTGGCCAACATAGGAAGACCCTGTCCCTACAAAAAAATTTAAAATTTTAAAAAATTAGGTGTAGTGGCTTGTGCCTGCAGTCCCAGCTACTCAGGAGGCCGAGGCAGGAGAATTGCTTAAGCTTAGGAGTTTGAGGCTGCAGTGAGCTATGACTGCACCACTGCACTCCAGCCTGGGACACAGAATGAGACCTTGTCTCAAAAAAATAAAATAATAATAATAATAAAAAGGCCTTTAATTGAATGTCAGCAGGTATTGGGGAAAAAAAAAAGTCCAGGTATCAGGCCTGGTGGCTTATGCCTGTAATCTCAGCACTTTAGACTTTGGGAGGCTAAGGTGGGAGGATTTCTTGAGGCCAGGAGTTCGAGACCAGCCTGGGCAATGTAGTGTGGCCCCCATTTCTAAAAAAAGAAAAAAATTAGCTGAGGGTAGTGGTACGCACCTGAAGTCCCAGCTACTCTGGAGGCTAAGGCAAGAGGATCGCTTGAGACCAGGAGTTGGAGGCTGCAGTGAGCTATGATTGTACCACTTGCACTCCAGTCTGGGTGACAGAATAAGATCCTGTCTCAAAAAAAAAGAAAAAGAAGAAAAAAAGAGAAAAGAAAAGATCGAGGGAGCCTGAGCCTAAGAGGGTGGTCACAGGGGATGTCACCGTAGGGGAGGGACTTTGGGGACCGTTACACCTGGGCAGGGTCCCTTCTCAGTCTTTTGTTTTGTTTTTTGTTCTTTTTTTGAGATGGTGTCTCACTCTGTCACCCAGACTGGAGGGCAGTGGCGTGATCTCGGCGCTCACTGCAACCTCCGCCTCCCAGGTTCAAGCAATTCTCTTGCCCAGTAGAGAACTACCAAGTAGCTGGGATTACAGGCACGCACCCACCATACCCGGCTAATTTTCGTATTTTCAGTAGAGACAGGGTTTTGCCATGTTGGCCAGGCAGGTCTCAAACTCCTTACCTCAGGTCATGCACCCGCCTTGGCCTCCCAAAGTTCTGGGATTACAGGCATGAGTCACTGCGCCCGGCCCCTTCTCACTGTTTGACTTCTTCGCAGAGTCTGAACAATGCTCAGTCTACGGGGACCCCCATTACCTCACATTTGACGGCTTCAGCTACCGCTTCCGGGGCCGCATGACCTACGTTCTGATCAAGACTGTGGATGTACTGCCTGAGGGGGTGGAGCCCCTCCTTGTGGAGGGACGCAACAAGATGGATCCGCCCAGGAGCTCCACCTTCTTGCAAGAAGTGATTACCACTGTCTATGGCTATAAAGTGCAGCTCCAAGCTGGTCTGGAGCTTGTGGTAAGAGCTGGGCCAGGGCCTGGTGGGTGTGGGGAGGCAGGTGGACCAGGTAAGCCACCTGGAGTAGAAAAGTCAGAGATCCCTGTTCCCTGGGACGTTTGTGACGGTTGGGCTGGTTGTAAAATCAGGGTCAGCAGGATGCAGTAGTTCACGCCTGTAATCTCAGCTACTCAGGAGGCTAAGACAGGAGGATCACTTGAGCCCAGGAGTTCAAGACCAGCCTGAGCAACATAGCAAGACCCCACATCTCTGCAAAAAATTTGAAATGAGCTGGGTATGGGGGCGCACACCTGTAGTTCCAGCTATTGGACAGGCTGAGGCTGGAGGATCTCTTGAGCCCAGGAGTTTGAGGCTGCAGTGAGCCAAGATCTTGCCACTGCACTTTAGCCTGGGTGACAGAGAGAAAGTGTCTCAAAACCAAAAACAAATTCAGCAACAAGCTCTTGTCGTGTGGGGAGGCAGCAGAGGCTGGCAAGACACAAGAGGAAGAGAGGAGGAGGAGGACAGAACATGAGGTGTGTGAAGGTCAATCCTGGGCTGAAGAACCAATGGCATCCACTACACCAATGTATTTTTATTTTTTGAGACAGAGGCTCGCTCTGTCGCCCAGGCTGGAGTGCAGTGGCACCATCTCAGCTCACTGCAACCTCACCTCCAAGGTTCAAGTGATTTTCCTGCCTCAACCTCCCTAGTACCTGGGACTATAGGCATGTACCACCACACCCAGCAAGATGGGTTTTTGTATTTTTAGTAGAGACACGGTTTCCCCATGTTGGCCAAGCTGGTCTGGAACCCCTGACCTCAAGTGATCCGCCTGCCTCAGCCTCTCAAAATGCTGGGATTACAGGTGTGCGTCACCATGTCCGGTTAATTTTTGTATTTTTAGTAGAGATGCAGTTTCTCCATGTTGGCCAGGCTGGCCTGGAACTCCTGACCTCAAGTGATCTGCCCACCTTGGCCTCCCAAAGTGCCGGGATTACAGGCGTGAGCCACCACACCCAGCCTCACTGCACCAATTTTTTGCAAGGAAGGACTTGGGCTGGGAAGGGGGCGGACCTCACAGAAACGTCCGCCACATGAATAGCAAAGCCCACTGGGGTATCTTATTCCACTGTCTGCACGGAGACGTATGGAGATGACCCGGAAAAGCAAAGCCCAGCCAGGAAACGGCAGCAGGTCAGGTGGATTCAGCGCTCCCTGTTGCTCCTGTCTTCCCTCTTTAGGTCAACAACCAGAAGATGGCCGTCCCCTACAGGCCGAATGAGCACCTGCGGGTCACCCTGCGGGGCCAACGGCTCTACCTGGTCACCGACTTTGAGCTGGTCATCAGTTTCGGTGGAAGGAAAAATGCAGGTACCGGAGAGAGGGGAAAGAAGAGCAGAAGGGCCGTTTCTGAGAAGTTGGAGGGAAAATCCTATCTAAGATAGGCAAATCCTGGTGAGCGGACTCAGCCCGGTAGTGGGGCACCCAGCTCCACAGGAGGACCAGGAGGAGGTGGGGTGAGAACAGGTGGAAAGCAGGGGGCAGAGTCTTGGCCAGGCGCTGTGGCACCAGCCTGTAATCCCAGAGCTCTGGGAAGCTAAGGCAGGAGGATCGCTTGAGGTCAGAAGCTCAAGACCAGCCTGGGGAACATAGCGAGACCCCCGTCTCTACAAAAAAAAAATGTTTAAAGGCCATGCGCGGTGGCTCATGCCTGTAATCCCAGCACTTTGGGAGGCTGAGGCAGGCGGATCACCTAAGGTCAGGAGTTCAAGACCAGCCTAGCCAACATGGTGAAACCCCATCTCTACTAAAAATACAAAAATTAGCTGGGTGTGGCGGTGGGGGCCTGTAATCCCAGCTACTTGGGAGGCTGAGGCAGGAGAATCACTTGAACGTGGGAGGCGAAGGTTGCAGTGAGCTGAGATGGTGCCACTGCACTCCAGCCTAGTGACAAGAGCAAAACTCTGTCTCAAAAAAAAAAAAAAAAAAAAAAATTTAAATGAGACAGGTATGTTGGTACATGCCTGTAATCCCAGATTCTGGAACTGGAGACGCTAAGACAGGAGGATCACTTGAGGCCAGGCATTCGAGACCAGCCTGGGCAAACATAGCAAGACCCCATCTCTACAAAAAATAAAAATAAAAAATTAGCTGGATGTGGTTGTGCACACCTGTAGTCCCAGCTACTGGAAAGGCTGAGGAGAGAGGATCACTTGAGCCCAGGAGTTGGAGGCTGCAGTGAGCCATGATTGAGCCACTGTACTCCAGCCTGGGCAACAGAGCAAGACCCTGCTTTAAAAAAGTTAATTAAGGCCGGGCGTGGTGGCTTACGCCTATAATTCCAGCACTTTGGGAGGCTGAGGCAAGCGGATCATGAGGTCAGGAGATCGAGACCATCCTGGCTAACACAGTGAGACCCCGTCTCTACTAAAAATACAAAAAATTAGCCAGGCATGTTGGCGGGTGCCTATAGTCCCAGCTACTCGGGAGGCTGAGGCAGGAGAATGGAGTGAACCTGGGAAGCAGAGCTTGCAGTGAGCGGAGATCGTGCCACCACACTCCAGCCTAGGCAACAGAGCAAGACTCTGTCTCAAAAAAAAAAAAAAAGTTAATTAAATAAAAAGAGTAAGGGCTGGTTTCAGTGCTCATGCCTGTAATCCCAGTACTCTGGGAGGCCGAGGCGGGCAGATCACTTGAGGTCAGGAGTTCTAGACCAGTTTGGCCAACATGGTGAAACACCGTCTCTACTAAAAATATAAAAATTAGCCAGGCATGATGGTGTGTGCCTGTAGTCCTAGCTACTTGGGAGGCTGAGCCACGAGAATTGCTTGAAACTGGGAGGCGGAGGTTGCAGTGAGCCAAGATCACGCCACTGCACTTCCAGCCTGGGCAACAGAGCAAGACTCTATCTCAGAAAAAAAAAAAAAAAAAGAGTGAGGAGTCTCACTTCTGGGGGCCCCCTTCCTCCCACAGTGATCTCCCTACCCAGCATGTACGAGGGGCTCGTGCGTGGCCTGTGTGGAAACTACGACAATAACCGCAAGAATGACATGATGCTGCCCAGTGGCGCCCTGACCCGGAACCTCAACACCTTTGGCGACAGCTGGGAGGTGAAGACCGAGGACGTCCTCCTCCGCTTCCCCAGGTGCGTGGCCTGGAAGGGATGAAGCTGGGGAGGTGAACAACAGTGTCTGTGCACGGTGGCCGCTAGCCCTCCTGTCCTCAGCAGAGGATGAAACTCCAAGGAGAGGGTGCAGAGAGGCCTGGATCCTCCAATTCCGTCATTCCCTCTCACCTGACTCTGGGGGTACCCGCTCAATGGAAATCCCACTCTGTGCCCCCGCTCTGCGCTCAGCCTGCCTTCCCAGTTCTTCTTCTTCCTTCTTTTTTTCCTTCTTCCTTCTTTCTCCTCCTCCTCCTTTTCCTCCTCCTTCTTTTTCTCTTCCTCCTCCTCCTCCTTTTCCTTCTTCTTCTTCCTCTGTCACCCAGGCTGGAGTGTAGTGGCGTGATCTCAGCTCACTGCAACCTCTGCCTCCCAATTTCAAGCGATTCTCGTGCCTTAGTCTCCCGAGTAGCTGGGACTACAGGCATACACCACCACTCTTGGCTAATGTTCATATTTTTAGTAGAGATGGGGTTTCACCATGTTGACCATACTGGTCTTGAACTCCTGACCTCAAGGGATCCGCCCACTTTGGCTTCCCAAAGTGCTGGGATTACAGGTGTGAGCCACCACACCCAGCCCCATTTCTTATTTCTTTTTTTAAAATATATTTTTTAGAGATGGGGTCTTGCTCTGTTACCCAGGTTGGAGTGCAGGGGCGTGATCTTGGCTCACTGCAGCCTCCACCTCCTGGGCTCAAGTATCCTCCTGCCTCATCTCCCAAGTAGCTGGGACTCCAGGCAGGCACCACCACACCCGGCTAATCAGTTGTTCTTCTTTCCCCACTTCACCTTCCTCGGGGCCTCACCTGACCCCGTGGCTGTCTCTGCTGCAGGGCTATACCAGTGGAGGAAAGACGAGGGGTGGAACTGGGCCTCCGCGTGTCCGAATGTAGCCCGGAGCAGTTGGCGAGCAACAGCACCCAGGCCTGTAGGGTGCTGGCAGACCCCCAGGGCCCATTTGCTGCCTGTCACCAGACAGTGGCCGCAGAGCCCTTCCAGGAGTGAGTCATGGGCCCAGGACTTGCGGGAATGGCCCAGGTGCCTGCTCTGGTCTTTCCCTGGGGCCTCGTGCCCACTTCCTGACCCAAGCTCTGTGTGGTTCACTCCTCCGTTCTCCCTGTGGCCTCATTTCCTTGTGACCCTCCCTGGACACCGACTGATGTCTTTCTATTTGGGGTTCCAGGCTCTCTTCTGCAGGGGTGGGTCTCCTCCCCTCCCCAAACTCTGACTGCACCCTTCCTGCCCCCTCTCCGCCCCAGGCACTGCGTGCTGGATCTGTGCTCCACTCAGGACCCAAGAGAACAAGAGGAGCTGCGCTGCCAGGTCCTCAGTGGGTACGCCATCCTCTGCCAGGAGGCGGGCGCTGTCCTGGCTGGCTGGCGGGACCGCACCCTCTGCGGTGAGGCACTGCCCCTCCCCGTGCCGACCCTGACCCCTCTGCCATCCACCTCTGCTGAACACTTTTCCCACCACTGCCTCATCTCGGACTTTCTGTCTTAGTCTCAGCATCCCTCGAATTTCTGTCTCAGTCCCAGGTCCAAGTCAGCACAACCAGCAGCTTGCCTCCTTCTCTGCCCCTACCTGGGAGCCTCCCAACCCCATCCCACATCCCACTCCTTCCTGTCAAGGTCCACCTCTGCTCAACCAGTTCCTTCAAACGCTCTAATGTTGCAGACAAAAAGACCCTGGATGGGCTGGGCGTGGTGGCTCACACCTGTAATCCCAGTGCTTTGGGAGGCCGAGGCTGGAGGATGGCTTGAGCCCAGGAGTCCCAGGCTGCAGTGAACCATGACCGCACCACTGCACCCCAGCCTGGGCAACAGAGCAACATCCTATTTAAAAAAAAAAAAAAGAAAAGAAAAGAAAGAAAGAAAAAGAAAAAAGAAAGAAAAAGAAAAGACTAGACAGGCTGGGCGTGGTAGCTCACACCTGTAGCTTCACCACTTTGGGAGGCTGAGGCGGGAGGATCAATTGAAGCCAAGAGTTTGAGACCAGTTTGGGCAACACAGTGAGACCCCATCTCTATAAAAATTTTAAACAAATTAGCCAGGTGTGGTGGTGCATGACTATAGCTCCAGTCACCAGGGAGACAGGTGGGAGGATCACGGGAACCCAGGAGTTGGAGGCTGCAGTGAGCTGTGATAACACCAGCCTGGGCACTCCAGCCTGGGCGACAGAGTGAGACTCCATCTCAAAAAAAAAAAAAAAAGAAAAAGAAAAAAAGACCCTAGATGAAGCTGCAATGCGTTCTGGCTTCCTGCCTATAAGCAACTCTGAGTGTTTTTGTTGTTGTTGTGGTTGTTTGAGACGGAGTTTTGCTCTTTGTCGCCCAGGCTGGAGTGCAATGGTGCGATCTTGGCTCACTGCAACCTCCGCCTCCCGGGTTCAAGTGATTCTCCTGTCTCAGCCTCCCGAGTAGCTGGGATTTCAGGTGCCCGCCACCATGCCCGGCTCATTTTTGTATTTTTAGGAGAGAGGGGATTTCACCATGTTGGCCAGGCTGGTCTTGAACTCCTGACCTCACGTGATCCACCTGCCTCATCCTCCCAAAGTGTTGGGATTACAGGTGTGAGCCGCTGCGTCCAGCCTACTCTGAGTTTTATTGGGTGACCTTGCCCCTGTTTGGCCTGCCCAGCCCCAGCCAACTTCTGACCATGATTGTCCCCACAGCCATGGAGTGTCCAGCAGGTACTATGTATCAGAGCTGTATGACACCCTGCCCAGCGTCCTGTGCCAACCTGGCGGACCCCGGGGACTGCGAAGGCCCCTGTGTGGAAGGCTGTGCCAGCATCCCAGGCTATGCCTACAGCGGCACCCAGAGCCTCCCGCTGGCTGACTGTGGCTGCACCAGCAATGGCATCTACTACCAGGTCCGGGCTGGCAGCGGGAGGGCCCGGGGAACAGAGGTGCCAAGGAGAGCCAGACCAGGGATGGAACCGGAACGTCTCCTCCTGACCCCTCCCCTTTCTAGCTGGGCAGCAGCTTTGTGACTGAGGACTGCTCTCAGCGCTGCACCTGTGCCAGCTCACGGATCCTGCTGTGCGAGCCATTCAGCTGCAGAGAGGGGGAGGTCTGCACCCTGGGGAACCACACCCGAGGCTGCTTTCCAGGTGAACCTGCACCCCTGCCCGGTTCCAAGCTGCCCCATGCCCTGGGGCATCCATGGACCAAGGATCGTCCCCTTGTTGTCCTGGGGACTCTTCCACATTGATTTCAGGACGTCTGTCCCTGCCTTTGTAGGGAGAGACAAAGGACAAAGATCTCCCCTTCCCTAAGCATCCACGACCTGCCCAATCCTTCCCTAGCATTCCTTCCCATTATCTCCTTCAGCCCTGGTGGTTAGCACAGCACTTCTAATTTATACATAACAAACATGGAGTTCAGAGAGGTTAAGCAGTTTCCTGCCTGTAATCCCAGCATTTTCCGAGGTGAAGTGGGAGAATTGCTTTGAGCTCAGGAGTTCAAGATCAGCCTGGGCAATACAGGGAGACATCGTCTCTACTAAACATTAAAGAAAAAAAGAGCTGGGTGTGGTGGTGCACTCCTGTAGTCTCAGCTACTTGGAAAGCTGAGGTGGGAAGATACTTGAGCCTAAGAAATTGAGGCTACAGTGAGCTATAATTGTGCCACTGCACTCCAGCCTGGGTGACAGAGTGAGATCCTGTCTCAAAAAAGAAGAGAAGAGAAGGGAGGAGGGGAGGGAAGGGGAGAGGAGGGAAGGAAGGGAGGGAAAGGAGGGGAGAGGAGGGGAGAAGAGACAGAGGGAGGGAGGGAGGAAGAGAGGAAGAAAGGAAAGAAGAGATGAAAGAGTTTCGAAGGGCCGGTGCACGGTGGCTCACGCTTGTAATCCCAGCACTTTGGGAGGCCGAGGCAGGCGGATCACAAGGTCAGGAGATTGAGACCATCCTGGCTAACACGGTGAAACCCCGTCTCTACTAAAAAAATACAAAAATTAGCCAGGTGTGGTGGTGGGCGCCTGTAGTCCCAGCTACTTGGGAGGCTGAGGCAGGAGAATGGTGTGAACCTGGGAGGTGAAGCTTGCAGTGAGCCGAGATCGCGCCACTGCACTCCAGCCTGGGCGACAGTGCAAGACTCCGTCTCAAAAAAAAAAAAAAAAAAAAAGTGTTTCGAAGGAAGGAAGTTTCCCCAAAGCCCAGGGCTAGTGAGGCAGGGTTGGGAGCCAGGCTGGCTGACCCCTGGCCAGTCTCTGGCAGCCGCTACTTTCTGCCCTGGCGTCCCAGCCTCCAGCCAGCCCTCCCCTGAGCAGGGAATGTCCTCCCAGGGGCCCCCTCCCACAACCCTGTCTGTCCTTGCAGAAAGCCCGTGTCTGCGGAACCCCTGTCAGAATGACGGGCAGTGTCAGGAGCAGGGAGCCACCTTCACCTGTGACTGTGAAGTTGGTTATGGGGGAGACCTCTGTACGGAGCCTCGAGATGTGCCACCTCCCAGAAAGCCAGGTGAGGGCATCATCCAAGGCCCTGTACCCTCACAGCCTCTTCCCGGCCGACAACCACAGAATGATTCTATATGTATTATATTCACATATAGAATGATATGCATTATAATATGTTATAGATATATATTATAAACAATATCGATTTGTATATATAATTGATATTAATATATTATGTTGTATGTTAATTATATATTTATATATTGCATATATTATAGTAGGAATTGTATTATATACAATTGTAATAATTTACAATTGTAAATAATACAATAATATTATACAATATACAATACAATATATACAATACAATAATATACAATTGTAATAATAATACAATATAATTGTATAATATAATCCCTAGAAATAAGCCATACAAGCATCCTCAAAAAACCAGTCCTGGCCAGGCGCGGTGGGTCATACCTGTAATCCCAGCACTTTGGGAGGCCGAGGTGGGCGGATCACAAGGTCAGGAGATCGAGACCATTCTGGCTAACACGGTGAAACCCTGTCTCTACTAAAAATTCAAAAAGTTAGCCAGACGTGGTGGTGTGTGCCTGTAGTCCCAGCTACTCAGGAGGCTAAGGCAGGAGAATCACTTGAACCCGGGAGGTGGAGGTTGCAGTGAGCCAAGATCAAGCTACTGCACTTCAGCCTGGGTGACAGAGCAAAAATCCGTCTCAAAAAAAAAAAAAAAATTAGCTGGGTATGGTGGCGCACAGTTGTAATCCCAGCTACTCGGAGGCTGAAGCACGAGACTCGCTTGAACCCGGGAGGCAGAGGTTGCCATGAGGTAAGATCGCACTACTGCGCTCCAGCCTGGGTGACAAAGCAAGACTCCGTCTCAAAAAAAAACCAAAAACCAAAAACCAAAACAAAACAAAAAACCAGTTCCTGTGCCCACCTCCTACCTATATACTGTGGAATCTTCTCTCTGAAGCCCAGCTCCCCATTCCTGTGACCTGTATCTCTCACCCCTGCTGCTTCCTCCTCCTGTGTCCATCGGTGCCTCTCCAGCACCTTCCACTGTCCTTCCCTGTCCCAAACTACAATTTCCATGAGCCTCTGGGCCAGCGGTTCTCCAGCTTTATCTTGTCTAAGATTGAAGAGGGGGTAACTTGTGAACATGTGTATTCCAGAACACACCCCGAAAGATCAGATCCGGTAGGTCTGGAGTGGGCCCAGGAATCTTTTTTTTTTTTTTGAGACAGAGTCTTGCTCTGTTGCCCAGGTTGGAGTGCAGTGGCATGATCTCCACTCATTGCAACCTCCGCCTCCCAGCTTCAAGTGATTCTCCTGTCTCAGCCTCCTGAGTAGCTGGGATTACAGGCGCCGGCCACCACGCCTGGCTAATTTTGTATTTTTAGTAGAGACAGGGTTTCGCCATCTTGGCCAGGCTGGTCTCGAACTCCTGACCTCAGGTGATCCTCCCACCTCAGCCTCCCAAAGTGCTGGGATTACAGGCATGAGCCACCGCACCCAGTCAGAATCTGCATTTTCAACAAGGGCCCAGGAAACTATGGAAGTGACTCCAGGGCTACTCTTTGAGAAATGCTGGCTGAGATGACACCTGGACTCTAGGGCACCTACGAGGAACAGCTACCCCCTCTAAATAGGCTTAAGGGAGGGCAGGCATGGTGGTTCATGCCTGTAATTCCAGGACTTTGGGAGGCTGAGGCAGGAGGATCGCTTGAGCCCAGGAATTCAAGACCAGCCTGGTAACATAGCAAGACCCCATCTCTACAAAACATCACGAAAATTAACTGGGTGTGGTGGCATGTGCCTGTAGTCCCAGCTACTTGGAAAGGAGGCTGAGGTGGGAGGATCGCTTGAGCCCGGGAGTTCAAGGCTGCAGAAAGCTTTGATTTGGCTACTGCACTCCAGCCTGGGCAACAGAGCCAGACCCCGTCTAAAAAGGCTTATGGGAAACAGAAAACATTGTGGGGGTAGGGGCGCTAAGACCTTGGAGTCCCTGGAGGTGAGAACCTCCTGGAGGGAGAAGCAGACACACCTAGAGATTTAGAGAGATGAGGTCCCCTGGGGTAGCACGCAGTCCCCAAAAGGGAGTGCCCATCAGTCCCCACCCTTCCCGTCTCACGTTCGACCTAATGTCTCTTCCCCGCACCTGGAAGCATCTAACCCGGTGGCCGTCCTACTGGGACTGCTGGTGCCTGTGGTGGTCGTAGTACTGGCCGTGACCAGAGAGTGCATTTATAGAATGAGGAGGAAGAGGTGAGTCCTGGAAAGAGGAAGGGCGGGTGGGGTGTGCAAATGGGGGAGTGCAAACGGGGGAGCGGCTGGGCCCATAAAGGGCCACTCGGGGACCCATGTCTATTCCCCCATGCCTTCTAGAGAGAAAATGCAGAGCCAGGAGCGAGACAGACTGGCCAGGCTGGTGGACACAGGTGAGAACCGACCCCACAGCCCGGAACCTCGGGGCCTAGAGTTGAGTCTCCTCTCATACATGGTTTTCTTGCTTTCTCCTCAGATATTGTTCTGGACTGTGCCAGTTAAGTTGCTCAGTTTTGAGTTGTCTTCAAACAAGAAGATTAAATAAATATACGTATTTATTTATTTGAGACAGGGTTTTGCTCTATCATCCAGGCTGGAGTGCAGTGGCACAATCAGAGCTCACTGCAGCCTCAACCTCCTGGGCCTCCTGCCTCAGCCTCCCGGGTAGCTGGGACTGCAGGCATGCGTCACCATGAGGGTTAAATTTTAACATCGTTGTTTTTGTAGAGATAGGGGAGAGGGTCTCACTATGTTGCCCAGGCTGGTCTCAAACTCCTGGCCTCCAGCAATCCTCCCGCCTTGGCCTTCCAGGGCACTGCAGTTACAGGCATTAGCCACGGCACCTGGCCAAAATTATTTATTTTTGTTTTGTTTTTTTGTTGAGACAGAGTCTCGCTCTGTCTCCCAGGCTGGAGTACAGTGGTGTGATCTCTGTTCACTGCAACCTCCGCCTCCTGGGTTCAAGCAATTCTCCTGCCTCAGACTCCTAAGTAGATGGGATTACAAGTATGCACTACCTTGCCTGGCTAATTTTTGTATTTTTAGTAGAGATGAGGTTTTGCCACGTTGGCCAAGCTGGTTCCCGAACTCCTGACCTCGAGTGATCCACCCAACTCGGGATCCCAAAGTGCTGGGATTACAGGCGTGAGCCACCGTGCCTGGCCCAAAATTATGTATTTTTGAGACGTGAATGTCCACATGATTATGGTGGAGGAAGTTGGGTCTTAGAGGGAGGAAAACGAGGGAGAGAGGCACATGGAGGACTAGGTAGGGCTGGGTTCTGTGCAAAATGTCTAGAGGGGAGAGGAACCTAGGTTTGAGGTAAGGGTGTTGTCCCTGAGAGAAACCACATGGGGGTGGCCCATTCGGTCCCGGCAAGGCTGACATCACTGGGGGAGACAGAAGGAGCAGGGAGGGCAGAAGGAACAGGGCAGCCAGGGGAATGGAGGGTGGGATGCAGCCCCAGACCCTTGGCTTCTGATTTAGGAGAAGACTTCACCCCAGGAATCCGAGTGCTTAGAGGATATGGCCTCTGGCTCCCCACCAAGGTGATTCTGAGAAATTTTACATATCAAAGAGACTAAGGTTGGGGAATGTGGCTTTTTCTTTTTTCTTTTTTTTTTGGAGACAAGGTCTTACTCTGTTGCCCAGGCTACAGTGCAGTGGTGCAGTCATAGCTCACTGCAGCTTTGACCCCCTGGGCTCAAATGATCCTCCCAGCTCAGCCTCCTGAGTAGCTGGTACTACAGGTAGGCACCACTACGCCTGGCTAATTTTGATGTTTTTTGGAAGAGAGAGGGTCTCACTATGTTGCCCAGGCTGGTCTTGAACTCCTGGGCTCAAAGAGCTCAGCCTGCCTCCACCTCCCAAAGTACTAGGAATACACGTGAGCCACCTCGCCCAGCCAAATGTGGCCTGCCTGCCTTCCCTCCCTCCCTTCCTTCTTTCCTTCCTTCCTCCATCCTTCCCTTCTCCTTCCCTTCCTTTTCTTCCTCTCTTCCTCCTTCATTTCCTTCCTTCTTTCCTTCCTTCCTCCCTCCTTCCCTCCCTCCCTCCCTGCCTCTCTTCCTTCTTCCCTCCCTCCCTCTCTTTTTCTTTCTCTCTCCCCTCCCTCCCTTCTTTCCTTTTTTAGAGATAGGTGCTTCCTGTTACCCAGGCTAGAGTGCAGTGGTGCAGTCATAGTTCACCCCCCCCAGGTCCCTCCCACACTTCCTCGGGGGTACAAAACATGGGTGATGTGTCACCAAGGGAAGATGGGACAGAGGACTCAAGAGCCCGAGAGACTCCAGAAGAGGGCAGTAGAGGTGAGAAATTGAGGACAAGACTCCCTGGGCTGGAAAGGGCCCAAGCTGTGATTTGGGGTCCAGCACTGACACAAACACGACAACAGGGGGCGACGGAGGTGCAGAAATGGAAAAAGCAGGTCGGGCGTGGTGGCTCACGCCTGTAATCCCAGCGCCTTGGGAGGCTGAGAGGGGAGGACTGCTTGAGGCCAGGAGTTTGAGATCAACCTGGGCAACATTATGAGGCGCAGTCTCTACAAAGAATAAAAAATCAGCTGGGCATGGTGGTGCGCTACTCGGGAGGCTCAGATGGGAGCTTGAACTCCTGGGCTCAAGCCTCAGCCTCTCAAGTAGCCAGGACTACAGGCGCACATCACCACGCCCTGGCTAAAAAAAGTGGGTTTTTCCAAAAAAGCAAATCAGCCTGTGACCCTGTGGGGAGGCCCCCACCCTCGGCATTCCTCCATTTCCCAAAAGGGGCTGGGGGTTACTGAGGGCGGGGTCTGGGGTCTGCGTTGCTGAAGAATTCTGACCTCTATCCTAGTAGGAGTGACCCACTCACCCCAGCCTGAGGCCAAGGTGCAAATGTCCCGCCCCCTTCCTTGGGACTCCTGCCTCCCATCAGGCAGGTCCTTGCTTGGGAGTGGGGACTGGGACGTTTTGCTTGGGCTCTAAGAAGGAAAGGAAGGCTTGCTGGGTGCGGTGGCTCACACCTGTAATCCCAGCACTTTGGGAGGCTAAGGCAGGCGGATCTTTTGAAGTCAATAGTTGGAAACTAGCCTGGCTAACATGTTGCAGTGAGCCGAGATTGCACCACAGCACTCCAGCCTGGGCAACAGAGTGAGACTGTCTTAAAAAAAAAAAAAAAAAAAAAAAGGGCCAGGTACGGTGGCTCACGCCTGTAATCTCAGCACTTTGGGAGGCCGAGGCGGGCAGATCATGAGGTCAGGAGATGGAGACCATCCTGGCCAACCTGGTGAAGCCACATCTCTACTAAAAATGCAAAAAAAACTAGGCGGGCATGGTGGCGGGCGCCTGTAGTCCCAGCTACTCAGGAGGCTGAGGCAGGAGAATGGCGTGAACCCGGGAGGCGGAACTTGCAGTGAGCCGAGATCACACCACTGCACTCCAGCCTGGGCAACAGAGCAAGACTCCATCCCAAAACAAAACAAAACAAAACACTGACAATTGGGCTGGTGGAGGATCGGGACGTAGGACCCCAAAGGGGATTTGGGTTTGGGGATGTCAAAACAGGGAGGATAGGCTGGGTGTGGTGGCTCACACCTGTATTCCCAGTACTTTGGGAGGCTGAGGAGGGAGAGTTGCTTGAGGTCAGGAGTTGGAGACCAGCTTGAGCAACACAGCGAGTCCCTGTCTCTACAAAAATGTAAGAAATTATTGGGTGACTGAGGCGGGAGGACTGTCTGAGCCCAGGAGTTCCAAGCTGTAGTGAGCTATGATTGCACCACTGCACTCCAGCCTGGGCAACAGAACAGGACCCTGTCTCTAAAGAAACCACCAACCAACCAGGGAGGATTGAGTTCTAGAAATGTATTATACTCTGCGCTCATCCTCTGGGATGACACGCCCTGAGGCCACCTTCGTGGAAGGAAGGAAGACCCAACATGGGGAAGGAAAGGACCCTGGGAAGGAAGGGTCCTGCCCAGCGAGACTCTCCCTTTCCCTAGCTGGGAGAGCATTCGCGCTGGGGAGCTGGATGTGGCAGGAAGGCTCAGGGCAGCCTGGAGTTGTTGGGCTGGACCTCAGGGGGCTTCTGCAGCCCCCTGCCCTGACCCCAGCTCCCCACACTGGGTCTTCACTCTTGGCCTCTCTGCTGTGCCTCTGCAATGCCCATTAACTTTTCTTCAGCTACCAGCTCTCTAGGATACCTTATCTAGCCTGGATGTCTGGTTGGCAGGGGAAGAGGGTGGGCCTGAGCAACATCCTCTGGATGGACCCGAGTCCCTCCCACACCTCCTCGGGGGTACGAAACATGGGTGATGTGTCACCAAGGGAAGAGGGGACAGAGGACTCAAGAGCCTGAGGAACTCCAGAAGAGGGTTGTAGAGGTGGGAAATTGAGGACAAGCCTCCCTGGACCGGGAAGGGCCCAAGCTGATTTGGGGTCCAGCACTGACCCAAACGCGTCAACAGGGGGCGACTGAAGTGCACAAATGGAAAAGGCAGGCTGGGCGCGGAGGTTCACGCCTGTAATCCCAGCGCCTCGGGAAGCCGAGAGGGGAGGATCACTTGAGGCCAGGAGTTTGAGATCAGCCTGGACAACATTGTGAGACCCACGCCCCCAGCCCATCTCTACAAAAAAATTTAAAAATCAGTTGGGCGTGGTAGCGTGTGCCTGGAGGATTCCCAGTTACTCAGAAGGCTGAGATGGGAGGATCCCTTGAGCCCAGGAGTTCAAGGTTATAGTGAACTATGATCATTCCACTGCACTCCAGCCTGAGCGACAGAGCGAGACCCTGTCTCAAAAACAAACAAAAAAGCAAAAAAACAGAAAAAGAAATGGACCAGGTTAAGCCAGGCTGGTCCTTGTCAAGACCTGCCCCTGCAGGTGTCCAGGGGGAGGCCAGAAAGATCCCTGGAGAAAAGGACACAGAAAATGGCAAGAAAGAGAGCAGGGCCTTTGGAGGGGGAAGTTGGGGGAAGACAGGAGGTTCCCCCTCCCGTTTCCAAGAGGCTGGGAGAACCTGCCCGGGCAGCATCTTGAATGGGAGAATTGTCCTTGGCCCAGCCACCCGCGCAAGTGCCTGTGTACACACGTGGGGGGCCCCTTCTTCCCTTCCCCCACAGCCAATGCAGACACTCTCCCCGCATTGCCTCGAAATCTACCCCAGCTGTCAACATCTGGCCCCCATCTGTCTCCTTCATCCAACAGGACCCCCTGGCTCCAGCTCCTGCTCCCTCCTTCCTCTCCAGGGGCTGTGGGGCAGGGCTGGGAGCTCAAGGCCTTCCCTCCTTCCCTCCCGCAGCAGCCCCTGGCCAGGATGGAGGAACCAGCACAGGGGAGGGAGGGGACAGCCCCACCCCGGAGGTGCCCCAGGCTCTTGGCAGAGCCAGCTGGAGCCGTTAGAAGTTAGAAGCAGATGCCGAATGATTCATCTCACCCCACCACCTCAAACACACCCTGGGGCTCATAACCGAGTTCCAGCCCCTACAGCCCTGCAGCCTCCAGACCTCTGACCCCTCTCTGTCAGTCACAAAGCCCTCCCTACCCAGCCCCACTCTCCTTAGAAATGTAGTCCATCACCCCCGTCACCCCCGGAGCTGGG